ATTTTATTAATTTGTAATAAGTTGATCATTAATAACAAGTATATTCCGGTCTTGGCGAGTAGCCGAATCTACTTTTAAACAAAAAACTATTGAGTATATCAAACAAGTGGCTAAAATTAAAAGAATTACTCTGCAAGTAGAATTAAAATGTGTTTACAAACACAATAGCCTAATGGAAGGCTATACAATTATAAATTATTATCAAATATAATTTTCTAACATAATAGACATCATCTAGAAAATTTCGTGTGACGGATATTGTAGTAATGAGATTAGTGTACACTACTAATATCGGACGCTTATACATGACGTCACAACTAATATACAAAATGATTTTTTCACAATAACCTACTCATTTACAGAATAAAAGAAATTTTAATATTTTTTTTTTTTGTTAGCTTTTGTTACACATTATTCTTTAATTAATAACTTTGTAATACATTTTAAGTTCATTCTTTATTCCTTGTACGGGTGCCAACTTTGTTTTCTTAAATGGGAATACATATTTCGAATTTAATAAAATTTTTGAGTTTTTGATTTAATAGTAAATGACATTTGTAATTAAAATAACTTTATTCGTTTAATAGATATAAAATTTTAGTTTCAATTAGACTTGATATACATGTATAACACACGAGGGATTCCAAACATAGGAATCTAATTGGTTTTTGTGACGTCGCTATCAACATCACGGAGAGTTTATTGTCATATATTACAATCAATAAATATGCTTTCTGTATGGCCAGTTTGTGTATTTTTAAACTCACAACAATTTGCCTTGACTCAAACTACAATTAATAATAAAGGCTGCGCATCTGCGATTATCTACTGATTTGCATCCAAGCGTCTTTTGTGATGATAATTTTAATCACTGTCAAATAACAACTATACCTGTCGTATCTATATCACGTACCCACTATGCCACTGTGCTAGGTTTTTTAATAATTGACTTCTTGAACTATTATTTAATCGTGCTTTAATTTCTTTTTTAATTTTACTTTCTTAAAATTTTCGATTTTATATATATATATTTTTAATAATTGTGCATTATTGAGATTCATACATAAAATAAAAAAACAATAAAAAATTGTATTTGAATTCCTTGCAAAATATTCTATCTATTGATAGCCATTTCATTTTTATGAGATTGAATAGTTCCATTAAAATTTTTATCATTTTTCTGAAAATTATCATTAAACTTAAATTTTAAAATGTAACAAACTGTAACTGTAACTGAAAGTGATTAATTTACACGTGCATTTTCTCAAAATTGTAGTAATTGATAAAACACGAGTTATTTATCATTATTTAATTACTTTGTACAAGATATTATTTATTTATTTACACCTATACTTTCCAGATTCGCATTAAAGATGAAATTAAGAAAAAAATTATGTGTTAATTAAATTTAAAAAATCCCAAATAGAAAAATTAAAAAAAAAATATCATAAATTCTGTGTAAATAATTTTACTGAAAATAATTGGTTAGAAAAGTAAAATAAGTCTTTATAACCAAATAAGGGGAGTCTAGCGATCCCCAGAACAATCTTGAAAACTTTTTCAAAGGTTTATTATTCTAATTGTCTCTAACTATGAACTGTGCGTACTATGCACATTAATGTTTTCCGGTCTAAAAAGTAAGAAATGAATAATGATAGCAGTCAAAGAATTCAACAATAAATTTAAGACTCTAGTCTCACCTATGTATCAATATGATATAATAATGAGATTTTACACGTATTAAAGAGAAAAAAAAACGGTAGCACAGTGGGGTCGAGGCACAGTGTGGACGAGGCATAGATGGGACAAGTATAGATGATATCTGACAGTGATTAAAATCACTATCATAAGAAACGCTTCGATGCAAATCTGTAGATAGTGTTTCCTTTAGAGAAATTGGTGAAATATTTTAAAAGCAACATGAACTCTTATTTCTTTAATTATATCCTGATTAGTAGTTCTTTGATTTTAAAATATAATATATGAATAAATACTAATTATAGTTTTTAAATTTAGTATGAAATTGTGAGGCCAGCTATGATGTATGGTTAATAGTGTTGGGCGGTTGATAAGAAAGTAGAGCAGAGAATAAGTGTAGCAGAGATGAGAATGCTTAGTTGGATGAGTGGAGTGACTAGAGAAGATAGGATAAGGAACGAGCATATAAGAGGAAGTATAGGTGTTGCGTCAATCGTGGATAAGATGACAGAAAATAGACTTAGATTGTTTAGTCATGGTATGAGGAAAGAAGAATCGAAAGCTGTAAGAACAGTTATAGAAATGAATGTTGAAGGAAGAAGAGATAGAGGAAGACCAAAAAAGAGATGGAGGGATGCTATTGAATGCGATTTGAGGACAGCTGATGTGAGCGTAGAAGATGTGGGAGATCGTGTCAAGTGGAATCTTAGGATAAGGGTGCCCGACCCCAAGTAGTTGGGATTAAGGCAAAGAAAAAGAAAAATATTACCAGATATTCCGGTGGCAATTGACATAATATGATTGTTATTTCGGAATGTACAATTTAGCGTTTAGTTGGGTTTAAATAATATAGCGTCAAATCAATTACCTACTCTATCGGTTGTATCTCAATATACACTACACTTTAATGATACAATAAATAAATAAACTCACACATACACACATATGCATTTATAACATTGTGTCTAATGTAAGTATAACATGATAAAAAGTAACCGTAAAATGAAAAAAATGGAATATAAATTTTATTACTCATATTAAATGTAATGTAACTCGAAAAATATTTGTTTAAATGAAAAAATATAAGATTATATTTTTATTTATAATTGTCTTTTAAACAACTTTTGTGCGAAACTTTTTTTTGTAAGTTAAATATTTTTTTTTGAGAAAATTAAGAAAGCTCATATTTTTGAACTTTTGCGAGGATTTAAAAAAAAAGCTCAATTCCAATCTTGAGGACTATTAGTATGTCATTATACATATTTTAATTCAACTTTTAAAAAAACAAAATTTTTTCCGCAATTTTTCCTTTGTTGACTGGCCTAGATGTCAATTTTAAACTTGTAATTGAGCTAAAAGTTATGGTAATATATTCAATTTATTTTACTATAAACTTTCATAAATCTTTATCAAAAATTTTTCATCAACTTTAAAGAACCAAAAAAATAGGTTAAAATTGAAAATTTGGACTGATTATTTTTAACATATTAAAAATCAAATCAGTAATAATTTGAAAACAAATTTTTTTTTCTTTTAATTATTATTTTATATATATAATTAGTAATAATATAAAAAATTAGAAGTGATAGAAATAGTCTACTTGCAGATTTGAAAACAACGCGAAAAGTTGATTTAGAAAAGTATATTTTTGCTTCTGATGAAAGTTCCTTGTAGTCCAGTGCATTTTTTTATAGTAACAAACAGTTTTTATTGAAAATTATTGTATCAAGCCCTTTAAATTTTTATACACGTAAAAGTAAAGCAAAATATAACTTCTTTATTATTTTTATAATTTCTCCGTTTAAATTACAATATTAAATATCAATTTCATACTAAATTTAATAATTATAATTAGTATATATTCAAATATTATATTTTAAAATCAAAGAACTACTAATCATGATATAATTAAAGAAATAAGAGTTGATGTTGCTTTTGGAATAATCCACCAATTGCCTAATTAAAACAAAAAAAAAAAAAGTTTGTTGGGAATTTTTTCTGCTATTCTGCAAAATTACTCCTTCGTTGACTAGAATGAATCATTAAATAGAAAATTTTATGAGAATTAAAACAATGTTATTTTTAAGATTAATATGCAGTCAGAAAGTTTTATAATTATTATTTATTGTAAATTTATCAGAAAAACTCATTATTTTTTGCATTTTTATCGTAATAGAACACTTAAATAGAAATCATAGTAATCATTTCTAAGTAATTTTTGATATTTAAAAAGATTCTACTATTGAAATATCCAGAACTGAATTAATTTTAATGATTTACTTTAACTAAAAAAAAAAAAGTTAATATTTTGAATCCCTCTTGTGGGCAGGTAAAGGGTTAGATTTATAAAAAAAACCAAATGATAGATAAAGACATGCATCTAAATAAAAAAAAATATACTGATTTGGTCATTTTTGATAAAGTTATAACAATTAACAAAGTTATAAGTTTTATACACTGGACTACAAGGAACTTCCATCAGAAACAAAAATATACTATTCTAAATCAACTTTTCGCGATGTTTTAAAATGTGCAATTAGACTTTTTCTATAACTTCTAAGTTTTAATATTATTAAAAAATAGTTTTTACATATAAAAAAAAATAATTAAGAACAAAAAAAATTGTTTTAAATTAATACTGATTTGATATAATATTTAATATTAATTTGATTATTAATAAGTTAAAAATAAGGAAAATGACATATTTAACCAATTTTGTTAATCGTTTAAAGTTGATTGTTGTAAATGTTTATAAAAAAAAAAAAAAATTTATTTTACCATAACTTTTAGCTCAATTGGTAAGTTTGACATTGACATAATTAAATAGAAAATTTTATGACAATTAAAAAAATTGTATCGTTAAGATCAATATGCAGTCAGAAAGTTTTATAATTACTATTTATTGTAAATTTATCAGAAAAGCTCAATATTTTTTTGCATTTTTATGGTAATAGATAACTTAAATAGAAGTAATAGTAATAATTTCCTAGGAACTTTTGTTGTTTGTTGAAAAGATTCTATAATTGAAATATTGAGAACTTAATTAATTTTAATGATTTACTTTAACTAAATGTACCAATCAAAACAAAGTTGTTAAAAAGATTTACTCAATTGAGTTTATTATAAAATTTGATTATATTTGTAAAAATCAATTGTTAATTCAGGAGAAAAAACAATCATTTTTTTTAGAAATGATTTATATAGCAACACGTTAGAAAAAAATTTGAATATTATAGTCTAATAGTAGCACACACAAACAGAGTAATAAAATTATTAAATTACAAAGTAAAATGATTTAATTTTGTAGTTGAAACCTATCATATCAAACTTCATTCGTTAATAAATATTTTGAAAACATTAGAAATTAATGATTTTAATTGTCTTTATGGAGACGATGTAATAACTAACTGTTTAATTGATAAATTAGAATTTTTTTTTCAATTTTTGAGAGTAATATCTTCAACTAGATACGAATTGTAGTAATTTGACGTATTGTTGAAAAAAGTAGGTCAAGTTAGAGCAGAGAAAATAAATGATAGTCACAAAAAAATATCTTCTCGGCTTTGCATCGAAGCGAAAACTTAAAATATAGTAAAATAATTTTAATACGAATAAGAAATTTCTTCTTGCAAGGGGCGACTAAAGTGATGGGATCCTTGATCTTTATTGAAGTTATTGAATCTAAATGTGATAAAAATCAAACGAGTTAAAATTTATACTAACTTAAAAAGAATTAAGAAAAAATGCAAAAAATTCATTGCCATATGCGGGTTGGAACCTCGTACCCCAAGCGTGTAAAACATAAATTTTACCAACTCGGCAACCGTACGTTGCTTCCGGCGGTTGAAAAATTGGCTATTTAAGCTAGTTCAAATTTCAAAGTTATTTTTCTCGACTTAAAAGAAACAAACATATTTAAATAAGTTTAACTATCTATACTATATCAATTTTAATTTATATAATATTTATGAAAATCTGTACTCCCCTTGTCAGGTATTTTAAAATAAAATAAAATACAAAACCCAGAATTTTAACACAAAAATAGCATATTTTTGCATACGGTAGTCATTTTTACCATGAAGACAAATCCAGAGGTCAAATTTTTTTTTTTCACATTAAAGTATATTACATAAGCTTTAATTTAAGATATATTTAAAAGTGTCAGTATTTCCGGAATACTTTCAAAAATTAAATTGAAAATATCGTAGTAACAATACGCATGTTTAAAGTTTTGACCCCCCTTGTTAAAGGGGTATGATCCGATTTACAAAAAAAGCGTGCCAGATGAAAGGGGTATATAAATATTTATTATAAAAAAATAATAATATTGATCCATACATTTTTCCAAAAGTTATATAAAATATAAATTAAATAATATAACATATAAAATCGAGATTTTTTTCACGGAAATCGTACGTTTTTCTTTAACTTTGATGTCCGTTTTCACCACGAAGACAAGTCCAGAGGTCAAATTTTTTTTTTTCAAATTAAAGTATATTACATAAGCTTTAATTTAAGATATATATAAAAGTGTCAGTCTTTCCGGAACATTTTCAAAAGTTAAGTTGAAAAAGTTCTACTTTCTATACGCATTTTAAAAGGTTTGCACCCCCCCTGTATAAAGGGAAATGGTCCGATTTTAAAAAAAAGTATGTCGAATGAAAGAAGTATATATAAAGTATTTATCATTAAAGAATAAAGTTGATTCATGCATTTTTTAAAAAGTTATAGCAACATAATGTTAAAAAATGTAAAATATAATATCAAGAATTTTTTCACAAAAATAGCATATTTTTGCATACGGTAGTCATTTTCACCATGAAGACAAGTCCAGAGGTCAAATTTTTTTTTTTCAAATTAAAGTATATTACATTAGCTTTAATTTAAGGTATATATAAAATTGTCAGTCTTTCCGGAACATTTTCAAAAGTTAAGTTGAAAAAGTTAATTTTTTGTAAAAAAGTTACCATTTTGAAACCCCATCCTTTGGGCTGTTAAAGGGTCAAATGTTCACAAAAATATATAAAATGATAGGTAATTATCTAAGGTATCTATAAAAAAAAAAATTATATTGATTCGGTCATTTTTAAAAAAGTTATGGCAATTTTAAGTAAAAAAAATTGAAAAAATATCGAAAATTAGCGATTTTTAAATTTGTAATTTTTTGGGGGATTTCCCCCGTTTACGGGGAACGAGGGAATTTTTTTCAATTTTTGAGGGTAATGTCTTCGACTAGATACGATTTGTGATCTTTTGACATATTGTTCATCAAAATCGGTCCAGCGAGAGCTGAGATTGAGCGTTCACAGACACAAAAAAAAAAATAAAAAATAAAAAAACACATCATAGTAAAATTAATACCTTCTCAGCTTCGCATCGAAGCTAAAACATTGTGGTGCTTTAAGCAACACAAGAAATGTGTTACTTTACTTTTCAGTTGTCATAAAAGATATAATAGTCTAAATATACATAAATTTACTGACACAATAAAATTTATATTCTATGTTTTTTCACTAAATAATTTTAAATATAATTAAAAAGAAAATCTTATGCTTAACCCTTCTAAAAATTTATTTATAAATATTGAAAATTGATCCAATTTATATGTACAATATGTAATCCATTAAGTATACAGGGTAGGGATAATAACAATAGTTTAGATGGCATCCATAACTATTCTCTATATTTTTCTCAGGATGATTTTGATACATTACAATTTTTTTTTTTCTATTTTCGTCATCGTTGGCATTACCTTTTTCTTTGACATGGCCGATTTGAGTGGCAGCATCGTATAAAGATGTGTAATTATCTTTAGTTCGGCATAAATTTTCTAAAAATAAATTACGATAATAATTTTATTTGAATATGATATACTTCAAAATTGGATAGAAGACATAAATCCTGTGATTTTAAGTGCAGAATATATAAAACTAATTGATTTTCACTGTAGTTTAAAGAAAAACTTTATCACTACAGGAATTATTAGTAATGAAATCGTCAAAAAAGTATTAATTAATAAATATTCTTTATTCTTTATATTATTTGTATAACCAGTACTAATTTCATTTATTTTATTTTCATAAATGATTATTAATATCTACTCTAATAATCTAATAATATAGGAAAAATTGATAAAAAATTGTAATTGTTTCAAATTAAATTTTTAAATAAAATACTTAAGTATTATTATAAAATAATAATACCATGTTTCAGAAATATCAAAATATCTCAGAAATGTCAGGTTAATCGAATTTTCTGAATCAACTTAATTATTTAATATAATAAAATAAAATAAATAATTATAGTTACCTATTATTTTTTTATTAAACATATACGTGTATTGATAATGTAATATGTAATTAACACTAAAAGATGTTTTAGTGAATTTAAACAATTTATCATGTTCTTTTAATTCTCTTACGAATTCTTCTGATTGTTCCACTTTCACAGCCAATTTTTCCAAGAGTTTGTCAATATTGTCCTCTATAAAAATCTCATTTGGAATATTAAGGACCAATTTGTTGTTATATATAAATGATTTTGTTGACTTTTGCAAAGTAATGCATAAACACATCATACAGCTTTTCCTATTATAAATAAAATGATCAAGGCAATCAGAAGTTCTACGTAAAAATGAAGAAAAGTATAGTTTCGACTTGTAGCCAAAAAGATTCAAATCGACAAACTTTTGAAAACATTCAAGTATTCTATTACCGACAGAAATAATATTATCATAGTATTTTAAAGGTACTTCTTGGTCATTTATTTTGTTGTATTCATTAAGAGTTTTGACAAACAGTCTTACTAGTAAAACAATAGGACGAAATGTTGCTGTTAGTATGAGTGTATGAAATGCTTGTACTTCTCTTCTGTATAATGAATATTTAATGTATCTAAATATATCAAAAATGGTTATGGGTCTGCTATCAGGACATTTATAGACGAGTGGTGCAAATCTAATCATATCTAAAATAGATTGTTTCTGCTCGTTTATTAATATTGAATATTGTTCATCCTGTGAACTTATCATTAGATCTTTTTCGGGAATTTTACGATCACTCGTCATAAAGTCATATAATAATAGATTTTTTGGCAAAAATTTCCAGTATTCAGACCGTTTAACAGCTTTATTAAAAACAAAATATATTTCACTGTGTTCTAAATTGTTTATATTATCATCAGTGTCGTTTTGTTGCTTATCACTTTGTAATAATCTGTTTTTAAGTCTATTTGCAACATATTGAAAATTTTCTATAGTATATTCTCCTGATTTGTTGTAATCAGGACAATAAACAAATACTTCGTCATATGTTATATCACGACAAATATTTAATATCATTTTCTCAAACTGTTCTGAAAAATAATCATGAATCATCAAGTAACCTCTAAGAATACTGGAAGTTTTATTTGACGTATCAAATATTCTGTCATTATTTTTTGAATAGAAATCTAAATGTTCAGAAACATTATTTAAATATAAATTGAGTGACATTAATTCTTTCGAGAATGACTTTTGATTGGCTTCCCTTAAGACATCNACATTAATTCTTTCGAGAATGACTTTTGATTGGCTTCCCTTAAGACATCTAACATTACTAGTACGATTTCGCCATGGGTTTTTATTGCATCACCATATGTGTTCAAAGTAAGCACATTATATATTTCTAAATTTTCACTAATTTCAGTCAAATATCGATTATTATGATAAAAAAAATTTGACATATACTTGATAAAAGTACAATGAAAATCATCAAAAGATAATCCAAGTATTAAATTAATGAGTAATAATGATATAAATTTTATTAAAATCATTTTTTTAACAAAAAACTAATAAATAAAACTATTATATGTATTTTCTTGTACTTTTAAAAGCATATTACATATTTCATTTATTCTTTTTTTATATTCAATTACTTATCATATAAATAGTATCATTTTATGATGTTATTTGTTTTAGTGTTTCTATATTTCTATAGAAATATATCATATGGTAATAATTTAAAATATTAATCAGTGATTGAATAATAAAAAATTTAGCTATACAAAGTATTTTAATTCCCCTCCTACAGGCAGGTTAACACGATACCCTATATTTTGGGATACGTTTAATAGACAGACACCTCGTCTCTTTCAACAGCCGCCTTATTACATCACAAGCCCAACTTGATTAGAGTACTTCTGCTATTTAGTGTTGTACATCGGTAGTACCCCTAAGTAGACACAAAGTAGTACACAAGTCAACTAATGTCTTTTGACAACGAGTTCGTCGTGTTTAGCTCTTCTCGAGTCCTCCCGTTGGATATACTGGTCAGCCTCAATCCCAATCAAAAAGTGAACTACTAAAAGGGTAGAGTTTAAACCCGTCAGCACGGTCTAGCTCAAAAGTAGCAGACTGCACACTAATTATTTAGATCGACTAAAGGACCAGCAGTCCAACCTCGACTCTTGCCGCACACAAACAATTTTAACAGCTCAGTGAATATAAGATATTTACGCTAAGTGCAGGTGTTTAAATAGTTATTTTATTTACATAACGTAATAAGTACAAAGTCAATATGTAATATAAAAATATAACAAACAATAAATTAAGTCGTACAAAACACAAAGTTACTCGCACCCAACTTCATGACCCGTAACTCGACGTTTTTTCGTCAAAACGTCAATCCCCTTATATTTTTAATGTCTCCCTTTAAATATTCTTTTTCCCACCGGTATTAATTTGCTTACCCTGCGTTTTCCCTTTAGATAACATTATTATATTGCTTAAGAATTTAGAAATTGCCTACTGCTGTGACAATCATTGTGTTTGGGATGGACTTAAAATACGATATGGTTGAACATCGTAAAATACTTGATACTCTTTAAATTTCTCTATTTTTTGACAACTTGTTTTAAATAAATTATATATCACAAGATAGATCTTCTTATATATACAAATTGTCAGCAAATCTTTTAATTAAATTTTATGGCTACATATATATAATCAGTATCTACTTTCAAGGAAGAATTTTATAAACTTTGCTGGAATATAGTGCTAATGTGTAGCAAATATATTATTGAACCATAATTCCAAAAAAGTCTTCTTTAAATTGACTAACAACCCAATTTCAAGGTCCAAATGCATCCATTAAACGCAAAGCTTATATTATTATTCAGAGGAATATTTTTGTTTTTCAATGGTTTTAAAAAATAAAAAATAAATTCGATGTTTTTAGTATTACAAGAATAGGAAAAATTAGATTATTAATTTCTAGGGTCATAACTAAAATAAGCTACTACTAAATATTAAAGAAAATGTTTTTTATAATTAACCATGCCATAAAAATATTAAATATAGAGATAACTGCATACTTATTAATTAATTAAATCTGAAATTTATGCTCGATGATATTTAATGTACACTAAAACCGTGTGATAAGTTGTGACAAAGCCATGATGAAAGGAGATGCCCTTATACAAGGCCTGTATCTTATAAACAAGAGGAAGATGATTTTTAAAGGGACAAACAATACCCGCCGGTCATCAAGCACGACAAAACCGCTAAAACACTGCGTGTATACGCCCAAAGTAAACAATTGGTTTTAGACAGTTAAGTAGGCGAAGTAAAAGAAGAAGATTTATCATAAATTAGCAATGTAAGTAATACAGATGATGTTCAAGAGAGGAAAAGAGCGGGGTGAGTGTACACATAAATGCCGCCCGAAGTAGTACACCGCTGACCATCTCTCATGTGCACAAACAAATCACAACACTTATATACTTTTATCTTTGTGCTGTAGACAAAAAATGCCGTCGCAATATGCAATCGGCTCAACAAAAGTATAATTTTTAATCAAATTTGCGAATTTACAAAATTAATGAGGAGTGTTTTTTGTCACGTTACAAAATATTAAAATATTACCGTCATTAAAGACGAAAATTCATTATGCTATCATTATTATTTTTTAGTTTAAATAATGTTGACAAAATATTGATCAATATTAAAAAATGTATTTTCAATGAATTATTGCTTTATTTTTTTTTAATTAATAATTAAATATTTATAAAATGTGTATCTAACTTTGTAATGCTACAAATATAAATAACTAATTGAAAAACACAACTATAAATAATATTTATTATTTTTTTAGTTAAAACGAAAAACAAGCCATCGATAATACGTAAAATACATTTTTCTATGACATTTTTTCTTTGAAAATTTATATCCGAACGACTTATTTTAGTAACGTTTTTAAATATTGCACTTTTAATTCGAAAAATCTTAAAAATACTTATAGTGTATAACAGATGGTAAATATTAAAATATAATAAAAATTTGTTAATAGGTATACATATATCTTGTCTGTATATTCTGTTTAATTTATTAATTATAATTCAAACATAAAATTAGTTAAATAAAGTAAGTTTTTACTATTGAGTAGAAACGAAAAAAAATTATAACTCTAACTTAAGTTCACATAAACTTCCTATAAACGTATTCAGTATTTTGAAGTTCGAATAAAGTTATAAACAACAAAATGATTTTTACAAAATTACTCAGTTTATTTTTTGTAAACTTCTGCATGGCAAATTATTTCAAAAATATGCAATGTAATTTTTCAGTGTATTTTTTAAATTATTTCAATCATAATAAACATTTTTTGCAAGAACTGAGTGTAAACAAAAATAATTACAATGAATTTGATGTAATAACATATGGTGCTGCTGTACAGACTCACGGTGAAATTGTTATGGTCATGTTAGATGTTTTAAGAAAATTCAATTCAAGAAATTATTCAAGAGAGTTAATGACAATCAATTTATATTTGAATAACGTTTCAAATACTCTTGACATGATTGGTAAAAATGATGATGGCACATTTGATTATTCAGACAACACATCAAACCTAATAAAAGGATACACGATAATGCATCTATATATTGAAGAACAATTAGAAAAATTTATTAAAAAAATGTGTTCTAATGAACCTTTAGATGAAGAGTTTGTTAAATTTCCATATTATAATACATGTGAAGACTTGCACCCAAAGAACCTACAATATATAACAGAAAAACTTAAAAATAGAATATTCGACAAGAATTTGCATACTAATATAGAACGGAAGAATAGAAAATTAAATAATAATTATGTACTGAATGAATTAATATCAGCCATTAATCGATGCAAATACGAAGAATTTCATCCAAAAAATTTACTGTTTTACGATTTAATGACAAACCAACATGACTTTATTGAGAACGGTGTTAATCAAATAAAAAAATATCGAATAATAAAAGATGGACAACCGGAACATATTTTAGATCTGCTCCGATTTGCCCCTTTAATTGAAAAATGCTCTGATGGAAGTACTTTAACAGTTTTGGATGTGTTTCGATACGTAAAATACAGTTTTGAAAGACTAAATATTAAATGTTTTGAAATGTTAGTACAAATTGCAGCATTACATCCTATAATAACATTTATACAATATTACAATTCAATATTTGTTAACTCAACTGATGTTATTGGATTTAGAGATCATCATGAAAAAGCCCAAATTTTTTATAGAAATATGATTAATTTAGGCTACACATTAATTATACATTTAGAGGAATTTATGGATTTGAAAATGTTTGCAGATTTTTTCATAAACGACATAAAAGATATACTATCAGTGGTTGAAAGTTTAATGATTCAGTTTAAGCAAGAAACTATATCGCAATTCAACGAAATGAGCGAATTACTGACCAAAAAAACAACAAAAATGTTGAAAGTTAATAAATTGGATTACAGTTTTGAGATAGTAAAATTAGACGAAAATAACATAGAAATCTTTTACGACAAATTAATTAAAAATTTTGATCAAATAAAAGCATATACAGTAGAATTAGAAAAACATAAGAACTCGTTTTTTGTTGTCAATAATACAATGACTAAAAAATTCTTTGCATTTCATAACAGCACTCACTTTTTAAAATCTAAAATTATAGGTAAGGTATTTTTGAAATTTGTAATTTTTTAAATTGTATATTAATTACATTTCAAATATTCATAATCATAATTTTTAAATTAATTCATTTGATTAGAATAGAGCTTTTGCTTTACACAACTATATTAAAATAGATTTTTTAATAAAACTAGATTGTGTATACAGAGTGGCCCACCATTCACTGACAACTTAAATAACTTTTGATCCAGTTAATATTTTTAATTGATTTTTTTTTTTTAATAATAGTTGTACGTTATGTCTATAGCTATATCTCAATAATTAATTTTTTTACATTTTATTAAAAATATTAATTATTTTTAAATTTTAAATAAAATGTAAAAAAAAAATCTAAGATAGCTATTTTGTAGAGTAGAATTTAAGAAAAATTTTAGTAAAAAAATATCTTATTAATATTCAGTAGTAAATATTCTGTAGCGTTTTGAAGTTTGTGAAAATTTGAATTTTCATGTATTATTTTACGGTATTTAACATTGAAATACGTTTTGAGAAAAGGACAGAAGAAAACGCTATCTTTTCATGATTACTGTGTATACATATGATGATAGTGTGTATACATTACAAACTTGGCATTAATACCATGATAAGAAATTAGATAAGGCAATTATTACTTATCACTCTCATTCAAAAGTATAAGTCATTTTCATGGAAAAAGTTACACACCTCCAAATTATAGTAATCATGAAAAGATAGCGTTTTCTTCTGTCCTTTTCTCAATACGTATTTATTGTTTAATACCGTAAAATAATACATGAAAATTCAAATTTTCACAAACTTCAAAACGCCACAGAATATTTAATACTGAATATTAATAAGCTATTTCNATTTCATAACAGCTCTCACTTTTTAAAATCTAAAATTAAAGGTAAGGAATTTTTGAAATTTGTAATTTTTTAAATGGTATATTAATTACATTTCAAATATTCATAATCATTTTTAAATTAATTCATTTGATTAGAATAGAGCTTTTGCTTTACACAACTATATTAAAATAGATTTTTTAATAAAACTAGATTGTGTATATACTGTTTATAGAATGCNAAAAAAAAAAATCAACTAAAAATATTAACTGGATCAAAAGTTATTTAAGTTGTCAGTGAGTGGTGGGCCACTCTGTATACTGTATATAGAATACAATTTGATTTATCTAGAATACTAATACTCCCAATTATTTTTGTTAAGTTGTGATTTTTTAATGAAAATGTCTTTAATTATTATTTTAATGTACTATGAAAAATATCACAGATATTCCAAAAAAAATATATATATATATTTTTAAAACACATTACTTTCAGAGCTGGCTTTATAAAATTGAAATTGGAAACATATAATCATTTTTATACCATTTATTTCAGAATAGACTAAATATAATTGCGACCTTTTGATTGCCAGTTTGTCATGATATTTTATGAGTTATTAAAATTTTTAAATATAGACAAGAAGAGTGCGCAACACGTTATTATTTTTGTTCATTCGTGTGATAAAAAGATGGCGTGTTTAACACCATTTCACTCCTCATTTTACTATAATTTTTGAAGGGTAATATTTTAAAAAGTATTTTTAACAGCCTGTATCAAATATTTTTAGATCAAAAAACAATATATATTTTTTAACCTAAACATTTCATGCACATATTAAATTAAATTATATAATTTAAAGCAGTTTAGGAGCCAGTTATTTCTTTAAAATATCATTCTATTAAATAGTTTTGAAATAGTAACAATTATTTTTTAACAAAAATTCTGATTTCAGATCGTATGTGTGAAGACAATATTTATATTTCATTAAATAAAATAAACTCGAACTATAGTGATGAGAACTTTAATGATGCAATTGATAGCTATGACTTAAGTAAGATAAATAATGAAATAAAAACTGTCGAAAGTCAACATGATGATGAATTTGAAAATGAAGAAAATAAATTAGATAACTCAAAACATTTTCCAGATTATATGATTGATTATTTACTTTTTAGATGAATCTATTAATTAATTATGACTCAGAAATTTTTGATAAATTTAATATTAATAAGACTATTGTAATCAGCTAAATTTACTAAATTAATAATCTGAATAAAGACGATAAAGCAATATATTAAATACAATTAAATATCAATCTTTATCATTGATTAGTTCGTGCTTATTAATAGACACTTTGAATGGACATTCCAGATAGCTCAGCTGTTTCAGTGTCTAATTAAATAGTCTTACCTTAATAAAAAGGACTATAATTATGTTCTAGCTGTATCTACTCGTTTTTATTGAACCCTCGGACTCCACGATCTCGATAGAATGTATTCATACATAACAACCCAATAAGTCATTACAGTAGTTTTGATTTTTTTGACGTTATAAATTGATGCTCTAAAGATCTTCTTCTTTTTCTTCCTCGCCTTAATCCCAAATACTTGGGGTCGACCACCGCCTAAGTTTTGTTCAGGATTCCTCATACTTTTTTGATAATAATTTTTACGCCTGCTGTCGACCTGACGCAACCTTATTAGTCGCCTCTAACGACTGGCAGAGGGGCCATGGAGGTATTCTTAGCCCCAATCCACAGGGAAAATGATGCTTTAAGGTAATTTCAAAAAAAATTTAAAGAAAGGTGTTTATTGAACTTGACCCTTTTTTTTTCATGTATAAATAGCACATTCAAATATATAATTCTCTACATATATCAATACATATAATAATACATATTAGGACGGAACCATTAATTTCGAAAACCGGAGCTTATAAGTTTTTAATACTTGAAATGTATATATTTCAAACGAAACGTCGAACATCCAGTCAAAGTCAAAGTGGCTATTATTAAATCATGGACTAATCAATAGTAAATTAATTTTAAAATTGTATTTAATTTATTGCTTTTTCGTTCTTTACTAATAAAACTAAAAGCCAAATTAATTAAATCTTTTAACAATCTTAAAATGCAAACAGTTTGTCTATAAGAAAAATTATAAGAACTTAATTGTTTTAAAATGTTTTTTCTATCAAATTGACATGGTCCTGCTTAGCAATTTTTTACACGGAGCCACACGACTCGCGTCACGGTTATCAGCCGCCGCCCAACTCTACGTGTAGATAGTAGTTTGACTGACTAACAGCGCGTGCCACATGCCACAGTACAAAGTTCAGCGAGTGTCTCGCATCCGACGACGACGACCTGTCGCAAAGATACGTTGAAGTCATTTTCGCGGCACCTCACAAAACGAACCGTTCCCCACCGAGCCCTGTGCCATAACTTTCTGATACCAATTAAAATAAACGTCACTTATCGAACCTACGTCTTTTGTGACGAATACGTTTCGTTCAATCTCTTCCTTAATTTAACATGGTCCCGGATCAATATAATCAAACAAAAAGTAGGGATTTCCATTTAAGAGAATTAAAGTTTAGGCGTTTTTATTCCTGAAAGATTAAACAAAATATATTTAACTACATATTATTGTAGTGTTGTTAGAATCGAACTATATGTTCCTTTACAAAAATTGAAATATTCAATAGTTTCTAAAAAAAGTGTTTTATCCTTACTTGACCTGACCACTCTATAGTATAAAACATAATATTAGACTAAAACCATTATGTCAGAAATACAGTTTGTTGGAGCTATATATTTCTATTTGATATTTTAATTTATATCACTATTTCCTAAACATGAAAATCATGTTAATATTGGTCTAGTGAGAACTAAGAATTTTCATGGACAGATATAACAAAAAAAAATACGTCATAGTAAAACTCAAGGCTAACCATGTTATCGCATTTTTTTCACTCGTTAAGTTAAGTTAAGTTAATTTCGAAAAGATTGTTAGAAACTTTAATAAAAACTAGACAAGTACGGCAAAAATCAAAAATTGGCTTTTGTCAATTAAAATATAATGAGCAAAAATATGATGTATTATAAAGTATGTGGTTGTCTTTTAAGTTCCCATTTACTATTTACATATTAGAATGTCTTTAGAATATACTTTTGGTTTGTTAACCAGTTTTAATATGATATTTCAAGGTGAAGGACCTTTGTTTACACCTGCTAAAACCAGAAATAGAACTGCTATTGAAAATAGTTGCTCTAAATTTCATGTCGGTAAATTACATAAGAAGCCTCGGTTGTATAATGAATATTGTACCTTAAAATGATCATTTCATCTCCCACTTAATGATGTATACATTTGAGTATTGCAAATTGAATCTATTACACCTTTAAAACTTAATAATTTGGGCAAATATTCAGAAATATTTACATTTTTAAACCATACGAAAAATTGTATATTGAACTATTTTTAAATATCAAATAAAGATTTGTTTTTGATGATAATATGTATAACCGTTTAGCTGTAACTAATTCATCTATAATTCTATAACTAATTCTAAGTTATAAAATACTTTAAAATAAAATCTCTAACTTTTGTAATAAAAATAATTCTTATTTTGTATTTTTATATCAGTAGTATTTAAGATCTTCATCAAAAGTGAAGACAATTTACACTAATGGATATGCAACATCCTTTAACTATTGAGAGAACAACATTTTAGAAGACTAGAGGACGATTTTTTTAGTGAAAAATGTTATAAAATAAATATAAACATTTTTTATTCTTAACTATTTATTTTATGTAAAACTTCATTATCACTACTATGTCTCTATCTCCAATTATTTGAAGTCAGCTCTACCTTTCGATTCCACAAGATATTTTATTATTTTAAATTAATATTGTATTGTGTTAATTATTAAATTTACTTTCATTAATTTATCATTTTATATCTAAATTCAAAATAGACTTGACGCTTCTTTATACTACTCGTCATATTATTGAAATTATTAGAGTCATAACTAAGGAAAGACTATTGGGATAAGGATATATAAGCGCGGTTATTATATTACAAAATACTTAATAAATATAATTCAATTATAAAACGTTATTCGATTAATTATAACCAACTTATTATAATAGATTGTATGCGCCTTGGAAGTGAGAAACCTTATTACATTTATCCTGGGACAATAAGAAATAAGGAGCCTGGGTTAATGTAGTTAAGACTGTTAATAAATGGAATATTAGATCGTTGGATCACAACAAGTGTACATTAATAAAATTAAATACACTTCAATAAATAATTATAATTCAGTAATAATATGTTTTTTTGCACAATGATTAGCTATATAACTCAATAAATAATTAGCATAAATACAAAATGTCAACGTGTGACTGAAACTACTAAATGAACTTAAATATTACAATAATTATTTTATCTGCAGGTTTTTAACTTTGGCGTGAATTGTGTATAGCTCATATAGTTAACATGAATTGCATATCACAATATATATATTTAGATGAATTTTCACAAGTACAATGTACAATGTAAACTGTAATCAATAAATTTCACTGACAATGTGTAATAAAATGAACAATGTCGCTACATTACATGAAAATCTAGCAATTACTTTTAATATTCTTAATCGAAAAAACCAACTTTATTGAACATTAACAAAAAAATTTGTTTTAATTGATACTACAAAAACTTTATGTTAAAAATAACTAAATGTGTATTAGTAATAGTGTTGGGTTTAAGTGTTAAGCCTAAATATACTACCGGATGATAGTGCAACCATCACAAATCGCATGAACTATTATAACTTCAGTACTCTGTATTATTAATGCATTATTTTATTATTACCATGTGTATACATCTTTAGTACATAATTAATTTTTTTCTACTATGTGATAAATAAATACAAATTTTATATTTGCTCAACTATATTTAATACATAATTATCGTACACTCGTTTTCTTGGAATCTATTGAGAATTTTTAATTTTCGTAAAAGGAATTATTATTATTATTGTAATGTTTATTTGATTAAATCGTTTTTTCCTTGTACGAAAAGACCTCAAAGGTTGAAATAATATATAAAATATTATTAAAAAAAAAAAAATTATATTAAAGGGTTGGCCACCTTTAAATTTTTTTTATGTATGCCAAGACGGAATATGATGAAAAATTCAGTATTTTAATTAATAAGTTATAGCAACTCATCCTGACTAACATAAAATCTTAAGCCACACCTCCCCAAATCAAATTAGACATTATCAAATGGTTTCATAAAAAATTATTGAAAATGGTTTAAATTACAAATATTGCAGATTATGTTTTTATCCTTACTTTCTTCCCATATAATACTTACGACACTGCACAAGCACTTTAAATTGGCAAAGGGTTATTTCAAATTATTTATGCACTCCAATCGTTTGAGAATAAAAGTTTGAAAAATATTAATAATTTTTTTAACTGTGAACTTTATAAATACATAAAACTGTTAATTATATGATGCATGAAATATTACAAAAAAAAAAATTTAATATGTTATTTAAATAGATTTACAAAGTGATTAGTTTATCATTATTACTAAATTTCTCCTAAAACAATAATAATCTTAAATAATTTTTTTATGGCTTTGATAATTAATGTAATATTAATTTATAAGTGGTTAAATATGTTTTAGATCCGCCACCTACCCCTTATAATATTACTAATTTAAATGTTTAAAATAACTGATAAAATAGTCAACTATTTAATTAAGTAAATGACTAATCGATAACAATTTTTAGACCAGTATTTCGTATTTTATTAACATATTTATACTTAGGCGAGTAGAAGTATGCGACCAAAAATGTGTAATGATAAAATCCGATTACTCATATACTTCAAGAGAGCAAAATTTAAACATTAAATTGGCGTCAAATCCATTGATTATTTTTAATTCGACAGATATTTGAAAAAGTTAATACTGAAGTCAATCAATTTAAGCAATAAGAGCGACAAATTCAAATAAATGGATGAACAAAATTAGAGTGCCATAAATGTATAATGCAGTTGATATACTGCATGAGAAAACGTAACTCGGCGGCTGAATGATAGAATAGAAGGGTCCTATCTTTCTCAATTATTACTCGGTTACGTTCTTTCGTGTCCCGCGGTTTAGAAATAAGTTCATAAGCAAACTGGCAACGTTGCTATCACTTATTCTGTATAATTAAAAGGGACAGATCGTTCAAGTCATTCTTAACGCATATGAATTCCACACGTTGCCAGTTTGCCAATTAACTTAGATTTTATTTGAATTTGTCGCCGATTGTTACATCTGCTGAAAATGATTGTTTGAATTTGTCGCTCGGTTGAGTTATTTTTCTTTTTCTTATTTATTGTTCATTAGTACTGTATATAAATTGCATTTATAAAATGTATGTTGTTTATTATGTATGCTTAGCCATTATGTCGGATTAGTCAATTTTTGATACAAATTATTCATGCCCCACTTTTATTACATTACAGTTATACTTTCTTGTTATATTTTTAACACAACTGTTTGTTATGTTTGATAGAAGTTTTATATTTTTATGATTTTATTTTTTAAGTCTGTCCTTTATCCCTTATAAGGGTACTTACTTAATTTTTTTAAATATAAACATTTATTTTTAACTTACTTATAAAATAAGAAAAAGATCTAATTTTAAAAATATTATTCGATAATAACATTTGGACCAGTACTACAAAAATTACTAGTATGTTAAATTTTATCAATAAATTTTCAAATTTATTGATTATTTTTAATTGGATGGACAGATATTTGAGAAAATTAATACAGAAAACAGTCGAGCTAAATAGTAAATATACTAATAATATTGCTATTAATAGACGTCTAGTTGAGTTATTTTTATGTTTCTTGTTTATCGCCCATAAACGAAAGCATCTGAATAATCGGCTACACGTATTAAGACCCTTATTTTTCTCTAATCTTCACATGTCAATCCGGCTCATATTATATAATAGTTTGCTACAACCAATGTGGTCTTACTATATTCTATTTTGGAGAACTGCTGCACTATCAAATACAAAAATCATACAAGCGTTTCAATCAATATGACTTCGCATTTTTACAAGGGCTCCTTGATTCGTAACTAATAATCAACTACACAGTGAACTAAACATTAAAACTGTAAGTGAATCTGAAACATGATTCTTCTTCTGATACTATTGTAAACTATCATCCTAGTAATTTTATAGCCCAACTTAGCACCAAAACACTTCCAAACAAATTAACGCGACGTCTTAAACGCAACTGGCGTAGTGACCTATTACCAAACAACTAAATAAATAAATAAATAAATTATATAACATTAACTAACGATGTAAATTATTTTATTGTGAGGGGGTTGTAATGTGAACTACCCATTTATCCTATTCATGTAATTAATTACTTTAACAAATTTACTTATTGTACGAATTGTATAGATTGTAAATAAACAAATAAAGTGAATATTAAAAAAAAAAATTATTGTAAATAAATTGCATTTATTAACTGTATGTTGTTCATTATGTCGGATTAGTCAATTTTTGGTACAAATTATTCAAGTACCACTTTTACTGTAATATTGTAGTCTTTCTGTTTTGTTTTTAGCAAAAATTGTTGTTATTTTTTATGGAAGTTTTAAAATTTCTTTTTAAATTTTATTTGAGATTATATGTGTACTATAATTTTTAATAATTAAATCAGTTATGCACTGTAATAACTTTTAATTTAAAAGTTTAAGTAATTTAAACTTAAAAAATGTATAAAACTGTTATATAAAAATTGCATGAAATATTACTAAATATATATATATATAACATGCCATTTAATTATCTTTACAGAGTGATTGATTTATCATTGACCACTAAATTTTTTCTAAAATAATAATAAAATATTTTTTTTGGCATTGTTGAGTACTATAGATTTTTCAATTTATAGTACAATAAATACACTGGATGAGAGAACGTAACTTGGCGGCCAAATGGAAAGATAGAAAAAATTCTATCTCACTCAATAGCCACTCAGTTGTATTCTTTCGCATCCGGCGGTTTAGAAATAAGTTTATAAGCAAACTGGCAACGTTGCTTTCACTTTGTGATGGTGTCACGTTACCATTATTGTGAGAATTATTTTAATAAAATACAGACAGCACATCCGCTTTCTGAGACTGATGAATTAACAAATAATATTTATTGCCAAATTGGCAATAGTTCTAATTATTATAAAAACCCAAAAGACCTGACCATGATGGTCAGTCGACTCCAGTGCCTTGTGTCATTCATCAGTCTCAGTACTCGGTTGTCGCTGTCCGACTTACTACTTAAAGTAAAGTCTTTGTTTATTCCTTTTTAAACCTATCTACTCTCTTCCACAATATTTCAGAGTACTTGTGTCTTGCACTTCGTCTGCACCTCATACCTAGGCGTTACCCTTATTCCCTTCCTATAACAACAGCCTTTCGACACCCACAGCTATCCCGGAGTGTCAGCCGAGCACGGTGACTGCTATACGACAACACGCACGTGAATACCTAGACAGCAGGCACCACATCCTCATCTTCATCTTCGCATCACAATTACATTTACACCAGTTTCCTTTCTTTTATTGTGTTACGACAACTTATTCTGTATAATTAAAAGGGACAGAGCGTTGAAGTCATTTTTAATGCATAGGAATTCCACACATTGCCAGTTTGCTTATTAACTTACTTTTTTTTGAATTTGTTGCCGTTTAAATAATATTTGTTGCATTGCTGAAAATGATTGTTTGAATTTTTCGCTCAAATCAGTTATTAAGCAAAAAATTCATTTTCGTCTATCGATATTTGTTGGTCCGTAGGGGAATTTATAACGTGACAAATTTTCTACTGAATGGCGCTAATCGATTACTCTCACTCTTAAACTGTTCGAAAGATCAAAATAAGTTATTTTACACTTTTTTATCCATGCATGGGGTATCATTTAGCAGTTGCTAATCTAAATTTATAAAAACATGTTATTATTGACGGGTAAATTTTTAATTTTACTGTGTTAATAATATTTCATGAAAAATTTGAGTATGAATTTTAAATTTACCGGCATTGAATATATTTATACGTAGTATAGGGTATTACTCAAGACCATTTTTTGATTATTAGAACTCGTAATGTGTCATAAGAAATTCTAAATTGTCAAGCGCATAATTAATATTCTCTATATACATTAAATTTTATAGGATAAATTGCGAGTTTTTTTAAAAATGTGTAACACGAATAAAAGGTCTTGGCATCATTAAACAGCGTTTTACAAATTTCAGAATCTGCTTTTTAATTATAATATCCCAATAAAAATAATAAAGATTTTTTATTTTTTAAATAATATTTTATTTTTATCAATATTTTGAAATACAAGTAGTGTTAATTTACACACTAAAAGAGGTAAGTAAAGTATTTTTAAGTAATTATATATTATTTTACAATATTTAACTTATTTTTTTAATTGAATAGTTATTATTTGCAATAGTTGTTTATTAAGTAAGCATTTATAATCAGTTTTAGTTAAAAAACGAATTTTTTTAAGTAATGGAAAAAAACTCTTGCAAAATTATGTATACACACAATAAATTAACTATTCATTAAAAATAAACACTGATAATTCTAAAAAGTTAAAAATTTTGAGATCACATGCATTACAAAAAAAAGTTGTAATATTATATTATAATACTATTAATTTAATGATTAATCTTCATTACTTCAATATAAATAATTTATCCACAAATAATTTGAAAATAAGTGAACTTGTCAGCAAATAAAATAAATGTAAGAAATTAATTTTTAACACTTCCATAAAATTTCATGATTTTTTCTAACATACAAAACTTTTTATAAATATATATATTATATATAATACAAAAATGGTTATGATGTAACATATACCATGGAGACGAAAATCCAACAGGAACAATGCTAGAATTACATACTAAAATTTACAACAATTATCTTTGAATAGGATCAGTGCGAATACAATGTTTTAAATATTTCTTAAACATAAATAGGCTATAAATAATTTGTACAATATTTATTACTACGGCTAAATTATATTTGATGATCTTAGCAATAAAAATATGGCAGTTATACGAAACTATAAAACTAAATGTGCTAAAACTATTAGTTTGCCAAGAAATGCCAAAAAAAAAAAATTGACAATTATTTGAAAAATAAAAAATTGTTAGTTATTTTAAACAACAAACTAAAGTCTTATATAAATTATTGTAAAAAAATTAAAATTCAACACACTAACAAAAATGTTTAATTTATCTTGATCTTGTAATTTTGAAAATTACATTAAGTTTAAAATATATTCTGGCTATTTCTTTCAGTTATTAAATAATTAAAATTAACTAATTATAAGAAACAGATATTTTTTGTTTTTTAAAGTATTTATTTAACCCACGTTCTGCTTGAATTTTTAACCGATGTAAAAAATTCTCTTCGTCACTATATATGTCATCAATTGATAATCGTCTTGATGTACCATCTTTAAACATTACCTATTAAAATATATTATTTAAATAATAACTACCATATATATTTATATAAAAAATAAATTTTACTTACTGAATATAATATTTTATAGTCAAGTCCTAAGAAACAACCTTTACTTCCATTATCTAATTCTATTTTTTCATTTAATAAAGGAGGATTGCTTGAACTCTATAGGTAATAAGAAAAATTATTATCATAGGGGCATTTTGAAAATGTACATTTTTTGTTATTTATATAGAATTACTAAGTAATATTTCATAATACACCTTAGTTCAAAGTTCACATATTAAAAAAACATACTTTTATTTCATTTAGTGCTATTTTGTCTGAAACTGATCCATCTTCAAATAATATAATACTTAGAGGTTCCTGAACAATATTAATGACTTGACATTCTGCATATCTTTCAAATTTATTTTTAGCCCATACAATTTGATTTTTACAAATATTACGTGACTGTAAAAAAATTACAAGATAATTGTAAAAAAATGCATAAAATTCTTTAATTTATTTAACCTTTTCACGTATATAACAATGATTATAACAATTAATTAAGATTTTTTTGGTACTCTGTCGATTAACCATGTAATCAAACCCAGCAAAAATTCCACATGAAATATGAAACCAAGCCTCACAATTTGGCTCGCTACATCGGAAACAATTGCCTTCTGATAAATTGCACACTATGCACTAGAAATAAACATTTATAGATAATTAAAAATAAACAACCATTTAAAATCTAAGAAACAAAAATTACTCACTCCTTTATCAGTGGAAAAAACTGTTGAAAATGGATTTATACTGAAAGGATGGCAACCAGTGATATGTAGATTACACTCTACATGTGCCCATTCATTTGGTGATATTTGTTTTAAAGTACCAACTTTTATTGGACAATATTTACAAACCTGAAATTTTTTATAGTGTTAATTTTAATTAAATATTTTTGCGTAATTCAAAAATTGCATTCAATAATTAATATGTTTTTTTTTTACTAAATAATTTATAATTAGTAAGTTTTGATGTTATTAAAATGCATTAACAAACCTTCTTAATTAATTGACTCATAATTTTTTTATTACATGACAAAAAACTTCCATTTCTATACAAATTATTAAAAAAAAATCTTAAAATTTCAATTTATTTATTAAGACGGATAATGAAAAATTTTCTTATACATTTCCTCCAAGGACAAGATACTATTTGCTGATTCATTAAATGAAAGATACCAAAAGTATTAATGATTGTTTTATAAATATTTATGTATAATTTATTTCGAGTAAAATTATTACCATATTTTGTGATGATGCTTGACAGCGATCACAAAGCCATGTATTCCACTCATTTTTTTCTGTAATTCCTCCATAACATACAGAATGAACGGTTAAAAAACATTTTCTACACCTGATTAATGGCGATTTTGGTATTTTATCACGTCCTTGAAGATAACATTTGAACAAAACTTTACTAGGTTTAGGCACACAAATGAGATTTGGTTGAATATGAGACATAGCTTTAGTTTGCCAGTCAAAATTGAAAATTGGCTATACAAAAATAAAATAATATTTTAATTTAAATAAAATCGAAAAATTCATGGAAAATTTTGTTTAATTGAGTTATTATGATAATTTAAACACTACTGAAGTATTAGTTAAATAATAAGTTTTTATGGTGAAAAAAAAAAAATTCTAGTCATTTATTAAATAATAGACAAAATATTGCACATAAAAAACAATTTAGTTTTAAACTAAAATTAGTTAAGTTCTTACACAACTAAACAAAAATATTTATTTCATTAGGGTTAAATTAAAATATATCACAACAACAAATACACTTTAAAATTTTTAAAATAAAATCATTTTTAAAAATTGTCCTACATTTTTCTAATCAGAAAAAATAAAACTTTAATTTAAAATAATTCTGCTCTTTAAGTTGTATCTTTCAATTGTACAATATATGAATAGGTTTAATGATTTTTACCTTATTACGGCTAAACATTGTACATAAAGAACAATGAGGTTCATTAATACTTCTATAAATATTATAACGTTGTTCGATTTCAAGACTAGAGTTATTTTCTACTAGATCTCTTATATTTTGAGGCACATCTGCAAAAATTCATTAATAATGAATTAAATTAAAATTGAGATGCAATATATTAATTTATTTAATAGATTCAAAATCTATAGTTAAATTTATTCATTTAAATTACTGTTTAGATACTGTGAATTTATGAAACAAGGTTGTGTGTAGTAATGAAAATTTGCATAAGTCCTATGATTTAACAACACACATAATAAATAAAAATTTTTCTAAAACATAAATAAAAAATAAAAAATGGTAGCACAGTCATAGTACAGTGTGGACATGGCATAGTTGGGACTAGTATAGATAATATCTGACAATGATTAAAATCACTATCATAAAAAATGCTTCCATTCAAATCTGTAGATAGTTTAATTAAAAAAAATTGGTGGATTATTTCAAAAGCACAATGAACTACTATTTTCTTAATCATATTGGTATTTCTTTGGTTTTTAAGTACAATACATGAATAAATACTTATTATAGTAGTTAAATTTAGTATGAAATTAATATTCACTAGTCTAATATTGTAATTTTTACAGAAAATTATAAAAAATAATAAAGTAATTCTATACTTTGTTACTTCTATGACAAACCTGTATAAAAATTAAAGGGCTAGAAGCAAATCTTTTAAAAAAAAAAAAATTTGTTACTTATGAATTAATACTGGATTACAAGGAATTTTTATCAGAATCAGAATATAAGTTTTTGTACAATAATTTATTAAACTTTTAACAATTTACCGATTTTCAAAAATCGTAATTTTTTGGGGGATTTCCACAATTAGTGGGAAACGAGGGAAAAATTTTTAATTTTTGAGGGCAATGTCTTTAACTATCAAAAATCTTTTGACATAACATTGAAAAAAATCGGCAGAGAAAAAGTGGTAAAAAAAAATAGTAAAATTAATACCTACTCGGCTTTAATGTAAAGCAAAAATGGAATTTTAAGTAGTTACTGTATCTATTATTTTATATGGAATACTATAACTCATTTACATTTTTTTGATAAGATAGAATACTTTTGAACTATTAACCTTTTTATATAATTCTATAAGATGCAACATATCTGATCATACTAGTTACATATATTTTACTATTGAGTGCACTATTTTACAAATGCATGGTATTTTATAAACATTATAATATCATACATAAACTTAATTATATTTAAATTTAGCAGTATTTTAAAATTTTATTTCAATAAATGTATTTAATATTTTAGCTCCAACTTACCAGGATTAGATAAATTTTGATAAAAAGATTTGGAACCTATAAAATTTCAAGTTTTTATTAAATATTAAACTAATAATTTATATATTTTTAAATTTACTGTAAGAGTGGGTGTCTTCAATAACCTCAACCTTAGAATCTTGTTTATATAAGATAGGTTCTAAAGTTTCTGAATTTTCTACTGTTTGATGATTAACGAAGTTGTTTGCAGTAATATTGGAACTATGAGTAAGAGTTGAATGACTTGTGATATTGTGTCCACCAAATTGTCTAGTTGAATTGTTTTGCGATATATTTTCAATCTTGATAGGTGATAAAGGTTTAGACTCAATTTTATTATAATCTACATTACTAACAACTCTGTTATTTTTAAGATAGTTATCTTGAACTATAGAACTAGAGTTTTGATAATGATCATTAATAGTTGGGTCTATTAATGATTCATTTTCAAACTTGAGCCCTACACAATTAATACTGCTTGGAATTATAGGTGAAAGAGCAGGTGTAATTGATGAACACAAGTTTTTATTCAAGGAGACATCATTTTCAGTCTTGATGGTAATCTGACTCTCTTCATATTTTATTTCATTTCTAATTAAACTTTTAGACGGTTGATTTTTTTTCTCTTTTTTTGATTTAGGATTACTGTTCTTTCTAGATCGTTTCTTTTTAGATTTTTTTCTTTTAGATGATAATTTAAAATCATAATTTGAATCATTAGATTCATAAGATGAATCTAAACCTTCTTTATTTTTACTTTTTTTCTTAATACTATTTTTTCTTTTGTTATTATATGAAAGTTGGCTGGAATCTAAAAAATTGTTTGAAAAAGATTTCTTATTTAGACAAAAAAGAAAATTATATTATTTACCAATTTCACCAGCTTTAAACCAGACATCTTCTAACACTTCTAATTGTTGTTCATCTGGTATTTCTTCATCATACTCTTTTTCATCAATTTTTTGTATAACTTCTCTTACATCAGGAGGTACATAAATTTCTTCATTTGTTAAGGTTTGTTCATCTGACATTTCGGAATCTGTGAGCTTTTGTGTGATTGGGTGTCTTTTTCTACCAGCATTAACATATAATTTTGGAATTCCTAGATTACTAATAGAAAGAGAATAATCAATTGGTTTATTTAAATTTATAATGTATATAATAATAAGTCTTTATACTTTTTATTGCATAATATATCATGTTCACTAGGTAAAGGTGCAGCAAAAACACGAGATGGATCTTCTGGATGAGGACCAATATCATTACCTTGGATCCATAACTCATATTTATCAGGTTGAATACGTTTAACAAATGTATCCATACTAATTTTAACATTATCTGGTTGGCAATGACATTGTAAGGCTCGTTTACCATATTCAACCCACCGAGGAGATGCAAAATTAGTAGATTCAGCCATGTTGAAGCCATGATTAAAGCCAGCATGATAACCATAAGGAAATGTTATCATAAATTCACCACGTTCTTGAGTTATCTGAGTAAATAATTTTTAGATAAATTTTTATGTTTACATAACAAAATAGAATTAAAATTTTTTTTTTTTTAAACAATATAAAGTTTATTGGTCATATTAATGCATACTTTATTGTATGGTATTGAGTATTGCTTTAATACATGAGGAGATATAATAGTCATTTTATGTCGAAGAAAAGCAGGACATATATCTGAATCTGACTGGAAAAAACCTGAAGCCAATCTTTCTAAACGACGTCCATGTTCTGGTGGTATGGCATACCTATTACAAAGGAAATAATTAAAAATGTTGAATTATAACTATCGAAAAATTTCCATTACCATGTTTTAGGATATCCATAATGTAAGTAATTAATACTATATAAATCCATGTCTTCAGTGTGCCATGCAAATGATGTTTTCCACATACCAAAATAAAGATATGCTGTGTTAACACCTTCAATACTGATACCATAATCTTCATTTACATAATCTAATATTGTTCCTAATCTACTGATATTCCATACCTACATAATTATGAAAGTTTAAAGTATATATAACATAATTAATATTGAACATTAAAATCTTACATTAACATTATCATCAGTGATAGATCCTGAAACATCTGCTCCATAAAGCGGAGAAACATAGCTAACATTTTTCCAATATTTCCTTTCAAGATCTTCATAGTCAAAATGATTTGGAGTAGTGTATCTTGAAGACTCTGCCATTGCTCTATAGCTTGCAACTGTCATGGGCTTTTTTTGTATGTTTATTTGTGTATAAAGTCCTTGTTTACCTTGAACTACCTGCAATTTATACATTTTTAATAACTTATTAATTAAAATATTGCTATTGTATGGATTACTGGTAGAGAGATTTAGCAGCAACCATAAACCTCTATACAAATATTATGGAAATTAAAAATCCATTCTATAGACAATAGAGTTTATAGATTTGAATTAAAAATACAAATTTATCATTTATTTGTTTTCAAAATACCAGAAAAACAATAATCTATTTCAATGACCATATATTTTTTTATGACAGTTATCAAGAAAATTTTATCAAACTAGTTGTTCAACACTGTAAGATAGTAAAGTTGAGTGGAATATAAGAGTATACCTATTAATAGAAATTAATTATATAAGATTAAATTTCTGTATAATAGATATTATCAAGTTGTACCTGTCACAAATAACTACTACTATATATTAAACAGAAAATAATCAATAGAAAATTAGTCAAAAATCACTAAACTTAAAAAGCATTAACAGAAAAATGGTTCATCAAAACAAAATTTTTTTTTAAAAATAAAATGTTTTGAAAATTTATTTTCTATCTTATCATTAAATTAAAAATAGGGTTTTTTTTTAAAGAAAATTAAAGTAAGATATTTTATCCTAGATGGGATGAAAAAAAAATTATTAAAAAATTAAATGACATATTGTAGTTTTTTAACTCAAAAATTTTTTTAATAATTTTTAAGAAAATGAATTATCCTTAATGAATCATATATACTATATATTTATATATAGGTTTCTCTGATCTAACCGACAACGCTTATAACTTTTGATATAATTATCATTTTATTGACATTTTTTTTTTCATTTCTGGAGTTTTGATTAATAAGCTTTCAAATACTAAGTTCAAAGTATACATATTATTTTTTACTATTAAAAAGAAAAAAGTATTTTTTTTTAATTTCAAAAAGATTATTTTATTTTTAGGTTATGAATATGTATACCGGTAAAAGCTACACTTACCCTTACTACATATCAATTCTTTGTATTAAAATGCTTGTAATTGAATTAGTACTTGTCCTAAAATTATTATTAACCCATCATAATTTTTTATTAATAAATAATTTTAAAAATGCTTTAAACATAGTCTAAGAAGGCAATAATTATTAAAAAAACTAATAATTTTATCAAAAGCTTTGTCAGTTAGGTTGGGTTTGTAAGATAGACAATAGACCTTGTATACAATGCATTGTTTTAATAACTTACTTGACTGATAGGAGCAGGAATCATTATGTTCATAATATCTTCAGCTTCATAATCTTTTTTCCTTGGAATCCATTCTGGAGGAGGAATAACCTAAAAATAATCAAATTAATAGAATAATATATAAAAATCGCTTAAAAGATTATTACCTTAGCTACACCTGCTTTATGAGCTCCTTGAGATTCCATATAAGAAATATAACCACTGAAATCTTGAAATTCTTCCCATGTAGGTCTGAACACCATAATCCTGGGTGTGTTAGATTTTGAATGCATTTTCCTCTAATAAATATATTTTATTTTATTTATACATTAAATACAAATCCGAGTGCATGAGCAGTTTTTGCCCACTCCAACAAGAATTGAACTGAAATTATACATAAAATACAAATATGTTAAATATTCAGCATACTAAAGATACTTTTTATCCTTTACATAGATAAACAAAGCAATCATAATTTGAAAAATTAAATTTTTAATATCAGAGTTAGAAATATGTATAATTTTCGAAATTAATAGTTCAATTTTCAGAATAAGTAAAACTACAGACAACAGATTTTCAAAGTGTTAATATATAGCAAAATAGTTTTTGGTATCAGAATACAAAAAACTTAGATTATCTTTAATAAAAATTGTTAAAGATTATATTATTTAAATATACAAAGTGTGGCTATTAAATAAACAGACTATCAATTTAGTGATAACTCATAAGTAAATAAAGGAATAATGTTGGTATATTTGTAATTTATTGTAGCATTGAATGACACCAGTTTAATTAAATTCAGTTTCATAGTCTACATGTGAGCGTCATTTAAATTTAACTCTTACATACTGAATATAAAAATTATACCAGACTAAAAAATCGAATAACAAATTAATTTAAAATTTTTAGTGAAACTTGTAAAAATCTGTAATCAAAAGTTTTTGTTTATTAACATATATATATATGGAGATGCTGTTATATCACATATTTTATAGTGGCACAAATGATTTTGTAAGGATCGTGAAGAAGTTGAAAACAAAAAACGTATAGGTCGTCCATGCTCGTTAAAAATTGATAGTAGAATTAAAAGATCAATAATATCATGTGAAAAGTTTAGCGATTGAACATTTGAATGATAGCTGAGATGGTTAATATTAATAAGAAGACTGTAAGACAAATTTCACACGACAAATGTCTATGTTAAAATGGTGCTAAAAAACCTCACTCTGGAACAGAAAGATAGTAGGCAACAAGTTTGCTCCAACATTCTTGGATGGATAGAAAGTGAGATTTTTTGAAAAAGGTGATAACATGCAATGAAACTTGGATTTTCTAATACGACTCTGAAACTAAGAAACAATTCATGTATTGAAAGACTTCCAAATCACCAAAAATTAAAATAGCTCAAATGAGCAAGTCAAAACTGAAAACTATTTTTGATTATATTTTTTGATATTAAGGATGTTATTATAACAGAATGGGTACCATAAGGATAAACTGTTAATTAGCATTATTACCTTCAAGTCTTGAAAACACTCAGAGAACGAGTAAGAAAAAAGTGGCCAGAGTTGTAAATAAAAAGATGTTAGGTTCTTGCATTAAGACAATGCCTTAGCTTACACTACCTTATTTGTTAAGTGATTTCTAGCTAAAAATCGAACTACAGTGCTTTAACATTCCCCATATAGTCAAGATCTTAATCCATTCAACTTTTAGCTTTTTCTATAACTAAGAAATGTAACTGTAAAAACAAAAGGGATGAAGGTGTTAAACACATTTCAAGAAAAGGATTTCCAAGACTGTTTCAACCAATGGAAAATTAGAATGGAGCGTTGTGTCAACATGGAGGGGAGTATTTGGAAGGGGAAAATATTAATTATTTAAAAAAATTAATAAAAAGTTTTAACTGTGAAAATCTTTTTAATTATTAACCACATCTTGTATATACAATGCTTTGCAATGTTAATAAACCAAAGTAACAAAAATAATCTTTAATTGTTCCACATAAAGGAAATTCTATAAAATTAATGTTCAAAAAGTTTACTTTGATCTAAATTTTTTATAAAAGAAAACTACCTAAAAATATATTTTCAGAGTTAAAACCTATCTACTTATCAGAACATTAAGCTATTATTTTAGAAATTTACCGAAATGGGAATGTATTTTATACAAGATAACATTGCACACATTTATTTCTAAAAAAAGACCATTTCATTAAGAAAAATTAAATTCACATAATTTTAAAATTATATGAAATAGAAAAGTAGATATTTTATTGTATAATAATGTGCATTAATGTATTAACTAAGTACATTCAAAATTTAGATATTAAATGAAATTGTCACATGGATTATTTTTAATGTTTGAAAAAAGTAACAAATTGATTTTATAAAAAATGTACACTAATAAAACTAAAAGATATATCCGGTAAGTAAAATTAGTTATTTAAGGGAAGAAATTTAATACAAAATAATTATCACATTAGTTGTATATCTAGAATCATTAATTACATAGTATATGTTTATATGATATAAATGGGCATGTCAATTATTAAGTGAAAAACAAATTTGAACAGGAGAAATGTCACAATTATCAATTTTATATAATAGAACGCAATATATAAATCAATAATACCTAAATTTTTTATAATAACTGATAAACCAATATGTATTAATGTTATCAGATAATAAAAATAATAAGTTTCAATGAACATTTAATTTGTATTGCAGTTTTGCTATGACAAAACAAATACTTACAGTAATTAGTTAATGAATCAATACACGAATCCAAATGACTTATTACTACTTCTAATTCTTTATTTTAATAATAAAGGACAATGTAGATTCACAGTTCGCATAGTCACTTTAAAAAATTTTGTACGGGACATGGAAACTATTAAGCATATATCAACGACAGAGATTACACAATAGATGATTTAACTATTTATAAATCACATATACAATTAAAACTTATAGAAAATATATCCATTTTTTCCGTAGTGTAAAAAAATATCGCTCGACATAAGTATTCTTGTTGTTATTATTGCTGAACGCCATTATCCAAACACCAGAAAACTCGTACACCATTTTTGGCTATATTCGAACTGTCACAAAACGTTTTGTTTATTGATAATAATTTCTTAAAAAAAGTATTTGCAGTAGCAAACGTTTCACTTACAACAAAATAAGGTGCACCGAATGTAAAAGTTAAAAAATAAAGAAAGATTTCCTTCGTTTAGTGGCAACACTGTTTTTACTGATAAAATATATTTTAGCTGATAATATAGCTTTACTTACCAAACAATTATGTGTTGTTATTGTATATTTTTTTATCATAGTCCAAGGGTCGTAGACCTAAACTAAGTAGAAAATAGTGTAGGTAGTTATAAACTTTTTGTTTTATTTTAAACCTTTAAAAATTATTTTGCACATGATTTTTTTAATTTACATTAAAAGAATAATATTTTTTTACTTGATAAATTTAGTGTATTCAGTGTTTTTGCTCTCAAAATTTAATTATTATAGTGAGTAACAATGATTTAATAGTTCGTTAAGTTGTGTGTTAAGTAAGTACTTGTTTTAAATTTTATTTCAAATTTAGGTGATTTACTAAATTATTAAAATTGTACAACTGTACAGACTTGCGGTACAATATAATTCAGAATGAACATTAATAATAATAGTTAATAATAAAACCAAATCAAATTTAGTTATACATTAAAACATAATTTTAAGGATTATGTACATTAAATGAACAAAATTTATACTATAAATTAAGATTGAACATTTCTGTGCTTTTTTCTCTTTACTTTTAAATAAGCTACTAAATTAATAAATTATTGCAGAATATCTAAAACAAGTAGATATATGTGAATATATAAATTCATTTATTTAAAACTTTCTTCTTAAAATGAAATTCAAAATTTGGTATTTATTTATATATATTCATATATTATGTAAAGTGTGTTATTAGAAATTTTACATGGTTAAAATGTTGTAATTAATTAAATTAATTAACTAGATTCTTTTTAGAAAAAAAGTTCTTATAAACTAGTTTAAAATTTCTGAAATAATTAAAAAACTAAATTATAATTTTTTTTAATTTCTTAATTATATTTTTATGTTAAAACATGCATTTAGATTAAAATTATAGCAAATTATAATAATAAAACGATAATTTTTTTTGCCATTGGCACATAGTATTTACATTTTAAAATATATTTTAATTATTGGTCTTTGCGTTATAATTATGTAGCTCACAGTACGATTCTGTCAATCTGAAATATTCAGTATTTGATTGTGAGACTTTAATATTTCTATATCAATTAATATTAACAACAATAATAATATTCTATCCAAAACAATAGAAAACAAATTTACAAATACTTTAATGTATAAATATAGTTCTAAAATAATTAATAAAATTTAGATATTGTAAAATACTATGTATTGACAAAGGTGGTGCTAATAGTCTTTATAATCTATGTTATTCTATGTAACTATTTTAGTCCCTCTTTTGAGTTAGTATTAAAGATATATAACATTTTTTTTCTCTTTGTTATTACTTAATAAAACTAATAAGATAACTTAATTTGTGGTCTGAACAAACTAGTTATCTAAATGACTTTCTTTTGGCAATTGTCTTAGGTTAACACAAATATGCCAACATCATATGAACAATATGACAATTAACCCACTAGTGTCCCACAAGCACTTTCTCAACATTATTTTTTTTTCTTGGGAGATGATATAAATAAAGAATTATTAATTTATGTTATTGTATAAATAATAAAGTATAAAATGTTTAAAAATAAATTCCAAACTGAACTTTGAATTTGCTAAACGATGTGTAATAATAACAGTTAAAAGGTGTAAGAAAGTGAAAATATATGGTAACATTGTTATCTGCTGAAATGCAAGCTAAAACAAAATTATCATACACAATTTTCCACTTTAGAAATGTTTTGAGGAGAGGGTCTGGATCTTGGCCCCCTACCCTCTTGGTTGCTTAATGTACAACCATTATTATAGTTATGTTATGAATAGATATATATCAATGCATATCAAGTTAAATAAATANCAATTTTCCACTTTAGAAATGTTTTGAGGAGAGGGTCTGGATCTTGGCCCCCTACCCTCTTGGTTGCTTAATGTACAACCATTTTTATAGTTATGTTATGAATAGATATATATCAATGCATATCAAGTTAAATAAATAAAAACGGTAGCACAGTGAGGTTGCNAAAATCATATAATAATTTATTTTTTTTAAATAAATAAATAGCATCAATTTTTGTCATGATTTAATAGTGTAATATTATACTTTAAATAATAATATTCAGATAGATATTTAATTTTTTATTATAATTATGAAATGTTGTATGATAGATAATATAGTTAAGAATGAAAATATTTTTCTACATAACGGAAGTATAACTTTTCGACTGTGTAAATAGAAAATGGGGTTTAAAACGTCAGGGGTCCTTTTCTAATTTGTCAACAGTCTATAATAATAGAATTATACCAACACTTAAAATTTCTATAAATAATATTTACGCTACTCTGCAGGATGTAGTATGTATCACCATACTAACGGGTTTGATATTATACAAAAAATTACCAAAATGAAACCTTATGAGAAAAGTTATTCCTTTAATTTATTTGTAAAAAAAAAATGCGTTTTTATAAAAATACACGATTGATATATATATATATCTTAATAATTAAGAAATCGTTATCGTGAATGTTATATTTGTTATTTGATTCTTTAAAATGATTTTTTATCGCCATACTAACTTTATTAACTTCAATTACAAACGATATATGTTAATTTATATTTTAATACAGTTTCTAAACTGGTATATTAAAATAAAATCAGGACTCTCACCTGCCTCTCTTTTGCTCATAAAAATTATTAATGTACTCTAGCATAAATTGAATTTATATATTACAATGTATGATTACATTTCATACTAAATTCATAAAAGTTGAATTTCATCCCTTTTATAATTTGTCTTGTTTCCTGTCTTTTCACAAGTATAGAAGTTTTAAGTTTAAACGTTTACTCGTAAATTAATACTACAAATAGTCTTTTTCGTCTTTTCTTGTTCAAAATTAGGATATAGTCAGATCTAAAGAATGCCAAATATGGAAAGGCTCTACAAGGACAAAAATAGTTTTATAAACGCATGAAAAAATAATACTTATTATAACTAGTATTTTTTCATCCTGAACTTTGAAAAAAACTCTTAGTATTAATTTAAAATAAATTCTGTTATTTTGTTTGTTGCTTAGATGTTACTTAGGTAATATAATATATTACTTAATCAAGTAATAAAATAACATGATAACTTGCTGTTTCCTCGTTTTAGCTGATTCGTGACTATTTATTTATCATTAAAAATCCTTATTCGGATTGCGTGTTTCATTCATTTTTTTTACAGTTGCTTCGATATTATTTTCAAAATTTTCCTAGTAAAAAATATTTACAACAATACATAAATACATAGTAACCTCACATGGTGTGTAATAAATTACAAGACTATTTCTAAAAAATTGACTAGTGTCTCTCATTAGACGCGGATTTATTTAATAACTTGTCCTGTTTGGAAAACCTACTTTTTTGAAACTCAATTAAATAGTAGTTATTGCATTATATATCATGTAATATTATGAAAACATTTTTTTTTGCAATTAATGAAATAACATTAAATAAAACATAACGCCTTGGTTTTTAATTTAACTTAAAGCGTTTGTATAAAATAAAGCATGTAGTTAAAATAGCTGAAAACAATTACTGTGCTCGATAGATTTTTGCTTTATTTAAACGTTTTATGACAAGAATATTTTAAAAAAATCATTATGAATAATTTCTGGAGATAATATTAATTGTTTGATAGCCAGCAGTTTTATTGTAGTAAATTATTATACTGTATTATAGTATAATAGTTTAGAATAAAATAGTTTTTTTTTACTTTTTTATTTTATTAAACTTTCAGTTTGATAATAACTACTACATTTTTAAAAACTAAAAGTATTTAGTATTATTTATATGTGTGTTACGTGTAAATCATACGTTTTTACTGCAAGTTAAAAAAAAAATGTTATACTATTTTTCACAATCCCCTTTTAAGCGTGATTAATTATGCTTTTTGCACAGTAGTTACAAAACTATCTTTCCGCATTTTACGGTTATTATAAAACAAAAAGGAGGAAGTGTAATATGTAACATAGCTGGTGAAATCGTTTTTATTTGCAAATTGATTTATCGTATGCTATCGATTTCGTCCCCCTTAATGGAATATGCTTACCCTAATTACTTGTATGTGACCATATTACATTGTTGTAGTCATAAAAACTAATAACAGGTTACTCAATGCCAGTGAAAATTAATTTTTTGTGCATTTTTTATTTATGACAATATAATATGCTAATTTATTAAAAAATCCAGTCATTTTCGATGTAAATTCATATAATATGAGTGTTAATACGTATTATTTATTAATTGTTATAAAATCTTATGAAAATTAACTAAAATGCATAATAGATTGTCAATGGTGTTGATTTTTAGCTTATTTTACAATTTTGTTTTAAAACACATGGTGAAACTGGTGAACATTTTACATATCTCTGGATAGACTAAGGTAAGTACATTATATGTTATAATTATTTTAAAATATTATCTAAATTTATTTTCCAAAGACTTCAATAGACACTTTATCTCGTACATACTTAAATCATAATTTAAAATGAATTTCTTGTGGTTGGTGTTAATTATGCATGCTTTTTTTTATTTACTTTCGAAGATTCAAAAATTGCTGTTGACTTTACAAGCTAATTCATAGAATTTGTGACTTACGAAAACTTAAAACTAAAAAAATAAAATATTTATTAACGCAATGAAATGCATACTATCAAAATTCAAATCTGTAATTATTATGTATCATTTATATATATAAATCGATATTTGTTCTAATTTTTACAAAAACTTGTATAAAGGTAAAAAATCTTTTCTAACATTTTAGCAAAAATAATGTGATCATAGTTTTGAGAAAGTAGCGAATCATTTTTGTCTTTAAATACACGTCAAACATGTTTTTCTTGTAGAGTTTAGTTTTCTTTGTTACTACAATATACATTTTTATGTTTGATCGTAAATTTTGAAGACAAGGTTTTTCATTTAAATTTAATGTGTTTAAGTGATTGTCTCATAAAAAAATATTTTCATAGTTTATACAAATCTATTGTTATTATTAAAAATAATTACGTATTATTATAAAATAATTGAATTTCAACTGAAATTTTTTACGTTGGAAATTTTAAATTTCATACAATTTTGTACTTAAAAAAGCATAACTCGATGAAAGTATGACATTAAACTCGAGGTCAAAGATAAATTGATAGTATTTTTTTGAAATGGTAACACGAAATAAATGTTTTTATTGTATGCAAAAAAAAAACTGCATAGATTTTATCCATCGCTCTAGATGTTAAACCATTTGAAAGTCATTATCACTAATTAATAATCAATTATCATATTAATGCAGACTTTTGTGAGATTAAAATATTTGCGTAATACTCAAACTTGAATTGTTATTTAGGACTGATAGTAGTGTGTCTTCAAAATAATCGTATTTTTTCAACAGGCGTTTACATAAAATTCATTTTACTAAATTAACATTAGATTGAAAACTTTGTAAGACTTAAATGGCAATCAACGTGTCGTTCTTATTGTGTACGTGAATTTATTACATTTCGAATTATTAATGTTCAAAATAAATATTCACATAGAAATTTAATTGCTGGATTTTCTTCCTAATGTTATGGGCGTACGTTTCGCACATGAGTTTTTAATTGATGTGCCGGTAACGCGTACGTGTTCCCTGATGAGTATTTACCAACGTTAAAGTGTCTTCCATTTAGCCGTTATGGGTGTGCGTATTGTGCAGACAATTAATTCGGCGTAATTAAACATTTTTGTCGCAAGCTTTAGGGCAGGACTCGTATTGTTCAAACCTACTAGTGTACCTATCCGAATTATTGTCATCTTTCACATAATCATGTTACTCGTGTGTGTGTATCCTAATGCGTGTTCACGTGAGCTCAATGTCAAATGTTACTGCAGCTCATCTTGTGATGGATAGTAGAAGGGGTTTAAACACGATATTGGTATGAACGATACGCTACCATGAGTGCCGCCGTCGCAGTGTTGTTTTAGCGGTCGACCTCATTGGCGGTTTTTTACCATACGTGCCTAACGAGTGCAGTTAAGCCTGTTTAAAATGTTATTTCCCCAGAGAAAGTTGACTTAATATACATTTTGTTTAATCGGTGAGAGTTCTTCGAACAGAATTGCAAACATTTTGGTAAGAATTATTATTACTTAATTTCCTTGAACTTTTTACATTCTTATAGTGTTAAAGGTGTTTTTTTTTTTTTTATTGCTAACACGCACCACGATAAGATATGTCGTACATATATAGTCTGTGACCTTAAGGATTTGACGATATTGAGGTCATCATCGTCATTATTTATAGGTTTTTTTGGACGATATTTTTCGATTTTTGGTATTGCGTGAGTGTTGATTGTGTATTTATATTTTTTTATTTACATTGCGATTAGGTCGATCATATTGCTCTAGTAGTAATTGAGTTAGTATAGAATCGCAGGCGCATTAAACATTTGTTCAGCTGGTTATATAACTGTTTAAAACTGTATGTTCTGTTAAATCTTGTTCATAATATTAAACTGTATCTAACCATCGTGTTTTAGTGTAATTTGACAGTATTGTGTGTGTGGATACATTTCAAGGTATACTAACTAGATTACTATATCATAATAATCTTATTTAAAACATTAGTGTTCAAGGAACTGAATCGGTTTCAATAGCAAATATGGATTTAATCGAGTTATATAGAAAAAAATGTTTTTTCATTTTTGTATCGTTTATTTTTTTAATTAAAATTTATTTTGCTATCATTATTTATCTCACATTTTAAATTTACTAACATTAATCTTTTACTTGATTTGCTTTAGTAAAATATTACTATAAATATAAATGAACTATTGTGTAATAGTTTTATTTCTATTTTATTGCAACATTATTGTAACCTACTATTCATTCATGCATACAATGTATACATTTATAAATTAGTAATATTTTGTAATTAATAAATTGAATAACGGTGAGATGATCATTAACAAAACAATACGTCATAAATACAAGTATATAGTTTTATAAATATGTATTATATAAGTTTAAACGTTGAAAAATTTTTAGTAAAATTCTGAATAGGAGGCCAAAAAAGGGCTTATCGTCTGTGTCCTAGTTGTTGTAATTAAAAAGCACGTCAATTAGTTACTCAAGTGGAAGTTAATGTAATGCGATTTTTTGCAATACAAATACACTGCTATCTTGAGATTTGTCTTTTGTACTTGTATGTTTATCTAAAACTGTCACTTGAATTATGATTCTATTGGATATATTTGACTTATCTAAGTTAAAGTGTAACATTATAATTTTTCTAGCTGGTTTGATGATTTTTTTTCTAACTAATTTTACAATTTTTATGTTTAATAAGTTATTAATATTATTTAAAAAACATTACGGTTTTTTTAAGAGTCTAAAGTTTTACTTATTGTTATACGCAAAAGAATTTGTATTTACATAATGATACTTATTGTTGGATATTTTTCAATTGTTTTTTTTGCGTATCAATTTTTCTCTGACGACATCTTTTCAAATAAGTTCTTATATATGATAATATATTCAACGAATTCATTGTAAAACTAAAGAGATATTTTTTATTTTCGGAAAACAATTTCACATTAAATGTTTTTGATTAGTTTTCTCAGTGATAATAAGTTTATGATTAGATTCGTTGTTTTTCTGGAAACTAATTGTAAATAGTTTTGTTATTACAGAATTTCCTAAATTTACCTACTACATATTAATTTCCCACGAAATGTCTTGCGTATTTCTTCTTCTAAAATTAAAACACAAACTGTCTCCAATTCAGTAGGAATTTGAGGTCATCTTAATTATTGTATAATATGTTGATTTACAATTGTTATCAGAATTTTAATGCAGTTCATTGTCTTTTTATTGCATGCTAACGTCATTTTAAAAGACGTTTAAGTGAAAATAAATTAATGTATTTTTAACTTTTAGGCAATTGGAAACTATGCCCGTACCAAATAGAATAACAGTAGAAAAAGAACCAAATAAAAAACAAAGAAGATGGTCACTGCTCGGCATTTTATCAAAGAAAAAAAAATCAAAATCTAGTCAAGAAAGTATAGATTTTTGCCCGTACGATGGAAAAATCAATCGGAATGTTGCAAAAAATAATTACTTAGAACGTTCGGATAGTAATGACTGCATTATTCAACAGTATAAATGCAGTCCCAGGCCTATAAAAAGGTGTAATTCGATGCAACACACTAGTCCGTTATCGGCTTGCTCGAGTGTTATCGGGCGGCCTTCGTCGAGCGACTGGAGACTATCCCAACAGTCTGTATACAGTAATAGCTCAAGTGGTGTTTGCTACAGTGACACCGGTTTATATAAAAATGGTACTGCAGTTCGTAAAACTTATGAAAATGGTTACACGTCTCCTTACAGTAAGCCCGTTCGATGTTCGTCAGAAGTGGGCCAATATAAAACTGACAGTATCTCAAAATCAGCAAGGTACGCTAATTGTAGCGTCCCTGCTCCAAAAAAACTCATAGGAAAGAAAATACCGCCACCGCCTCCTCCTAGAAATCCTAACATTAAGGCAGTGTTTTACTTTGATAACAATCGTCTGGTATCGAGGGAGTCGGATTCAAATTATTTTTCTTTGAGTTCAGACGGCTACAGCCCAACGTACCAGCTTGGTGAAAGCAATACGTTGGACGATGACGTTTTTGGATACGACGATTACTACAGTAATTGTTTTAAATCCAAAATTGAAGAACCCCCTAGAAGCAGGCGGCCAATTCAAATGGTTGATGCCGAAACTCTGTCGTCAGAATGTGCGAAGAAAAAGCAACCGAAAAAACAGACTGCCGAAGAAGCCATCCGAGAGTTAGAGGATATTTACAATAGCTTAGGACTGAGCGACGATGACGACTTATTAGATAGAGCCGAACGTCGCGATCTTCCCACAGCTCATCAAAACATGCGGTACCTCCAATCCACTGCTGACGAAGCCGATAGCAAAACGTGTGACAAGAAAGTAGTGGCCAGGTCGCCGCGGCGGTCTGGCGTCCCAGACGTTGTAGCCGACGATATGGCCTATCGAAGGTTAAACCGCAGAGAGTCCAAAAAGCACAGTTCCGTGTTTACCGGCAGTTTCTTATTAGTCTTGCCGTCGGCGTACAACATCGATAAAAACTCGACTGTAGCTGGCGAACCTGACGTCACGTTGGACGACGTCGTGTACCGGAGCCGAAAACGTAACCGCAATTTTCTCAGGATACCCGACCGTCAACCTCCGTTCGGTATACCGCTGGGTCCTATCGTTGGCGCCGCTCCTAGCGACTACTTGCACGCCGTACCCGAAGGCCGGTACAAGCCGACGTTTCACTCTCGGAGGACACCCGATACGGTGGAAGACGACTTGGCGTTCCGCAATCTCCGCAAAGACGGTTGCAAGACCGGCGGTGTTTACTTCAACATGTCTTTCGTCCACAGGGATAGGTTTAGGATTAACGGCGCCGTCATTCCTGGTATTATCAACAAGCTGATAAAAGATGACGCGCACTGGATCGTCAAAGACCCATTAGCTGTGGATCGGCCGACGGCAAATAAACGTACTGATGTGATGGTGGTTAAGGTCGACCGATGCAAGCCGATCGTACTGACCGGGTTCACGCTGGACGAAGCCGACCGTATGAGTAAGTCGCTTATTTGCACAAAATTACCGAGATCACTCCGCGAGCATGAGCCTCACAAGAAACGCTTGTCCGACAGGCGAACAATAAGTAACAGTGTTCGTACTAATAACCCTCCTGCACCGTATGTAGTACAGTTAAAAGCAAGTAGACCGCGGACAGATATACCTTTAACCGCACAGCCGCCCGTAAAACGTTCTTTAATTAACGAAGGAACAGTTAACGAAGCGATAGAAACGACGACGGGCCAACCGCGAATCGACCAAGTTACCACCAGTTTAGACGATACGGACGTCGTTCCGGTCTGCATCAAAGGACATTCGAGTTTCAGGGAACTCATCCAGCGCGAATACGCTAACAGATACTCGTCGGAACCCATCGACTCGGACTCTCTGAGTTTGGTGGTCCAAGGCGATTGCCGCCGGTGCACGTCAACGGAACTGCCTGTAACTGACACCGAAACAAATAATATGTCAACACCTACTGAAAAAATTGTAGGCCACGGGACGGAAACGGACGAAGGACATTGTGTAGTCTCGGCCGTTCCCAATGACGTCTCGGCGCCAGATGAACGTCATCGACAGGACGGAGCACAGACTGAATCGCTCAAAAGCTCCACTTCAGTGACGGCTCTGGTGCCATGGTCAGCTGGGACGGCCTGTCCTACCGCTCAAACGCCCGGATACCTGGAGGTGTGCTTGTATTTAACTGTATGCCTTTATCAGCTGTTTAGCGTTAATACGTACAGCACTCTAATAGCATTTATTTTACTTGTCGCTTTACACATCTGTAGACGCAATTCGCGATAACCAGACCTTTGTAAAAAAAAATAATTATAATAATCATTTTTTAAAAACCGATATTGTTGTTCAGGCTTTTTGTTGCTTTTTTGTTTGTTTGTAATATTATTATTATTTATTATTTATTTATTTATTTATTCAATGCCACTGGGTGTAGTCAACCAAAAATATAATATACTTATTTGTGTGACTAGTGTACGTTTGGTTTTGAAATAATAACACAATATGAGCGCTGGGAGTAAATTTTAATAATTACAATAAAAAAAAAAACTGCACAGTACGTACATAGTGTTATATATATACATATTTATCTGTTTTTCGTATGTTGTACAAACTACGCGTATATTATTACACAGTTGGTGTTTTTTCATCGTTCCTTTTACTCTCCGCGCTCGTAGTGTAATTTAGTCTCCTTGCCTGTTGTTAACACCGTTTTGTCATACCCCATGCCTAATATCGAAATAGTGTTCTATGTAACCTAGTGCCGACAAAAAATAAACTCCGTGTATTATTATCACTATTTTTACTTGCGGCTTAATAATACATTTAAGCATAGTGTATAAGTTCATGAAAACAATCATACTTACGTTATGAATTGCCGCCGTCTTGACCCTCCCAATAATTTGTGCGTAGAAAAACGAGCACAATGCTTTTTGACAACTCTAAGGCGTGCCATTGTGTATTATATGCAACAGTATATACAAATTTAATTACTATATTATACCGATCCTGGCCCGCATGCATAAAAAAGTGCTATTTTTACATATAATATTTCCGAAGGCAGTAGTTGAGTGTCTTGTGGGATTAATTCACTATAAATACATACAGATATGTTATTGTCGTAGCATCTTTATATTTAATAAATTGTCGGCGTTGTGTAACCAAGTTTGACATGTGTTTTTTTTTTTTTTTATTCGCCTCATTTGTTACTATTGTTCAAGCGGCCCGGAAAACGCCAAATTCTGATTAATAAAATGGGTAGTTTTAGACTTTCTTTACCGGACATATCTTTTTTATTAACTAATATAGAACACGCCAGTGACAACTTTCCCCGTATGTTGTTTTATAGAGTTGCCCGATTTCGATTTTACCTTAGGGGTATATATTCGCTGCAGTTTACTTTTTCTTTTTTATATCGTGGCTCATTGGCCTTCCTTGAGTCATTCGATCGATACCAATAAGTATAATTTGATTAATTTTAAAACCCCTAAGTTTTAAACTATAGTCCAGAGTAGTGTCAAAACCAGGTTTATTCTAATACCACAAACGCGATTGATTCACACTCAGTCTATGTATAAGCACTCGCCTAAATTTGTTCTAAACAATGTTGAAAACACTCCTAATAATGTTATGATACGTTTAAATGTAGATAGAATGATTAGTTTAATTATTGTATTTTAATCGCATTCAAATGATTGTTTTTCAGGACGGCAGACATGTAACGTAACAGTTTACCTCCATTGTTATGATGTAAGTGTGTTATAATTTGACAAAAGCGTTTAAAATAAGACTAATGGACGGAGGTGGCAACTTTTTGCCTTTTTATGTTTAAAGTATTCTAGGCAAATGGCCATAGCTTTAAAGTACTGTTAACTTAGTTAAAAGTAATTAGTTTATGGCTTAATACTTGGGAGACTAATCACACTAATGAACTGGTCAGAAAATTATTTACCATTAGTATTAGAAAAAGAATACTCTGTATTTTTCACCTTGACTTTAAAATTTTGAATAAAATTTTTTTATTATTATTTTGTTTATGTATTAATATTATATAGAATTGTTGACCAAGATTGTATTAAAAAAAGATCAAAATATTTTTATGTTAAAAAAAAAAAAAGTGTCTTTAAAAGTCACGTGTAGTGATTTATAGATCAATTTAATTCTATAATTGAACGCTTTAAAATCATAAGTATTTTCATTTGTGCGTTTGACCTACACTATATCGGTTTAACCAATAAAATAAACAATGAGAAATTAACAGAATTGACAGGAGCAGATGGCAGAGCGTGAACAAAATACAAACGATATACATACTACTGCACAAGTTTAAAAACAACAATCGGTTTAAATAACCACATAAAAAAAAAAAAAATTTGTTCATAAAAACTCACATAAAGTTGGTGGCATTATTGTAGTAATATTTTATAGGTAATAAAAAAGTAAAAACAGGCTTTCGAAAATCTCTTCATTTTTGACATACTCATTGTCTTATATGTATTTATAATTATTTTAATTTTATTTTTACATGTCGAGTTCTGACGAAAAATATTTATAAAAAACTATATAAACTTGTAATACACTATATTTACACATAAATAGAAAAAAAAAATTAATGTTTTAGCAAGATTAAAAGCCCCAAGATATATTTTTTTAATATTCGAATTTATTAAACCCTCTAACCACTCTTGTGATTGAAACGTGTTATTTACAACTAATCGAATTGTTTGGCAACCAGAAATACATTGACAAAGTTATCTTTCGACGTAGACAATTAATTAATACCGTTATTAATGTACATACATATCAATTGGAATAAAATTAGACGTAGTAATTAAATACATTGTTTAATCACGTTGGATTATAAATAAGTATAGAAATAATCTTTATGGAAATTATTTTATAAAGATACTGTGTATAGCTCCTATGAAAATGCCACTATTATAGTAAATATAAAAATTATAGAAAGTTTTTTTTCATAATAGTAAATTTTAAATGCATCTAATTTAATTTTAATCGCTTTAGAGACGTCCCGGAAAAGTCATTAGGTATCCAATGGAATACAAACATCTAAGGGGTGACAGTTTTATCTAATGGATCTGATATTTATTAAAAGGCGAACAAGTTCAAGGGCCGATCATCTGTCGCCATTTTATATGACTCACTAAATCGTATTAATTTAGAAAATTTTCATAAATGTCTTAATTTGAATCGTGTGTCATACATAATTCAAAAAGAATCTTAAAGAAAATAGTTTTTAAACTATTTTTATTCCAAAATAAGGCGTTCACAGTATGAGAAAAAAAAACATAATATGTAATTTATAATGATAAAAATCTATCTACGTTAATGATGATTACTTAACTTTATGTAGTAAAGAGACCACAAAATAATTTATCCCAACTTACTCACGTTGACTTCTAAATTTACTCATAATGAAAAACAACTTTCTATATTCATAACATCGGCAGAGTGCTCTACTACCATATAATTTAATAGCAAAACTGAATCACTGTTATTAAATCTCTTAGTCATTATCTGCGGGTAGTTTATGAAAGTTAATAAAGAAAACTTTAGTTAATGACAAAATAATTTTATTGATTTGTTTTTATTAATCACAGAAACGATTATGATTGTTTTGTAATATTATTTGATAATAATAAATTATACATTTTTTTAATACACCCATAGGAACGATTTAAAAGACTTCAGTGGGTAAAATATACAATTCCTTATTTTTTAGGGGGTCGTTATCCTTTCTTTACCGTATGTGATGCGTTCTAAATAATTAACTTAGATAAAAAATACAGTTTTTCGCAAGTCGTAATAGAAAATTTCACGACTAATTTAATGGCACATCCCAATTACTGTATCTTAAAATTGTTTTTATCTATGTAAAATAGGTTCTTCAACAAATCTAAAACAACTGAGTAATGGAAAATTCTGTTTGCCATTTCCATAGAAACCATCATAGACAAATTAACATAATTGCAGTAGTTATTATGTCAATAATAGAAAATGATACGACTGATTGTCATAAAAAACACTGTTGAATGCCAATGAGCTTCGTGGGCACTTACTACTCCATCGTTCGAAACTACAGGTTTATTACAATCAGCGGTGTTTTTGCAAAAAAATACTTTTTTATTTTACGGTATCCGCTGATTTGTGAACCCTTCAATATAAATAGCACAGAAATATTATTTTTTCTAAATGTATACGGTTGTTAAAAAAATTATTAGCGGGTTATCGTCATATCCTCCCCTTCCAAACACAACTGATTATGACGAAATATACTACTTGAGGTTTGTAAAATATTGTTTGGTATATTTAAAAATATTTCCCGGTGAAATCTAAAAAACGGCAATTTATACTTATTTACATTTTTTTGGCCCTCCTACAAAATATCAAATTTACAAAAATATGAATTAAAAATAATTATTTTAGTGCAAGATAAGCGAGTTAAAGTTATAAAGATTGAATGACAAAATGTCTTATTATTAATTGACCGTAAAAGTATTTTTTGAAAAAATACCATGTTATATTTTGGTACACATGATTGTTTATAGTAAAAATGGCATTGAATTCGTTTAATTTGTTCGCCTTTAAAACACGACTTAAACAATAATATTTTCATTGTTTTTTTTTTTCTAACATAGAACCCGAGACAAAAAATTCCGTTATTTATTAAATGCATATGATTTTTCTCGTGCATTTATAGTCATTATTATTGAAGTTTTCGGATTACATAGTGGAAACTCTTTGGAATTATGATTCATCAATCATAATAAGCCATATAAACAAATCACTACTATTTATAACGTTGTTGTTTTCGTATACGTTACAAATCTCACCTTGACCATATTCGTGTGGTTTGCAGCTGTGGTATCTTCCTAATGACCAACAATTAAAATATACGAGATAAATACAAGTTTGTACATTTGTCTCCGTTGATATTTCATACATCTGCTACTGATTCCATTGAAACAGTAGCGGAGTAATGTTTCCGCTATTTAGTCATTTTTTTTTTTTCGTAAAATCAGTTTCTCAGATTAACTATTTGTAATTACCTCACGTTTTCTATCGTGTCATATTTATTTTTAGTGATTGGGAAAAGTCTGAATGTTAAAAGCATTGTTTTGATAAATCGGTGTTGTATTAAAACTAATTACTGCTATTAAGAAATTAATGTTGTTTAAATAGTAGTTGAAGTATTATCATATTAAATACTCATTTCAAACTGGTTTGAATAATTCTTCTAGAGCATTCGTGTTTAATTATAGACGATTAAACAATTAGTTCTGCAGGTATATACTTTTCTCTCTTAGGTCTATAATTTTTATAAATTTCAAATAAAGTCTAACAAAATTCAATTCTCAACTAGAATTTTTCTTTTTGATTGTTAATCGAATTCCATTGTCATTATTCGCATAGTTTTCTTCGACTAATTACGACGTTATTTACAAAATAATCAGCTAATACATTTGTAAAACTAATAAGTTTTTATAAATAATTGAATAAAATTTGATGAAAAATTATTTTTTAGTTATAAAATGTGTGTTTTGTTCGAAACAAAATTAAATGATTACACAACTATAAATCATAGTGAACACATGAGCACTTTACCAAGAATGTGTTTTTTAATGAAAATTTTGCCCTTGAAAATCTATCACAAGTGCATACCTCGTTTGAGCTGTAATAGCTATCATTAAAATTACAATTTTTCTCATAGCTATAACTTTTAACCAATAACAGTTTGTAAATTTAATTATAAATATTCATAAAAGTAATACGTAATTCCGTTTGAGGTTAGGAGACCGTGAAACTTTTAAGTTGAATTAAAAACTGGCATCCATTCAATCATAATGTTGTATAATGTGTTCATATTTTTAATAATATCTGGGAGAAGTCAAAACGTTTAAGTTTTATATTCTTAATCAATTTTTCAATCGTTTTAAATTATCAATCGTTCGAAATCATATTTACAAACGGCGTATCTGTATGTGCTTATTCGAAATTACTAATTTCCTGTTTGACTGTAATTTTTTTTCAAAATTTGTTTGCCAACTTAAAAAAAAGACACGCAACAAAGCGTATCGTGATCAGTCGGAACTCGTGAATATGCAACTAGTTCTTAGGCTGCACGATGATTACTCAATATTTCTAAATGAAGTGCTGTGTTTACTAATTATTAATACGCGTGTATAAGACCGATAAATTTAATTAAGAAATTTCACCTTTCCTGTGTATTTTTACCAGTTCATTAGGTATGTTTTATTAGCAAGCGTACTTTGTTATTACTATTTTTTTTATTATTATTTGTAGCCGCCTGGGTTCGTGGCCGGCTCGTAGAATTTACACCGACAAATGTTTGTTTTTCAATTATTCTGTCAGTTTTCCCGGGAAAACACAATTGGCATTATCCGCGACCGTGCAAATTGAATGTCGACTCTGAATGATCCGATCGATTTTGGAGTTCGCCGTAAGTGAGAGCAAAATGTAAAAGTGGTTTTTTATTTTCTTTGTGTTCCGCCAAAGGTGAGGCTACATGGTTGAATTTGTCCCGTGCTCATTGGCCGTGTAATAGACCAAACCTGGTAAACGTTTGGTATCCGTGTAATGGTTAGATTGCTCTATAGGTGGTAAATCATTCGATTGTGAAGGTCTATTAATCGTGTACATTACAGCGCGACAGTAGGAAGGGGAGGAGAGGGGGGAACAGAGTCCTGTTACTCTCAAACCATGTAAGGTTGTATTGAAGACGGCGGCAGCGCTGGCTAAGTTGTTGCGTTCATTAATTCACGCTCTGCCACTTGATCGTGACACTGCCGACGGTCTATGAGAACTGTCCATTAGTCTTATGCAAATATGTCAGTGTTACGGTTTAGTTACGGATTGGTTTTTGTTTGTGCAGATCGAAATGTCTTCGGCTCTGCCAACAACAATTTCATCGTGTAAGTTATAATTTCAGTAGCGACAGTAATTGTGCCGATACCGTTTCCACGACCGCCAAACCGCACAAACCCGAGCAGAAGGAATGGAACAGCGATTTTGTTGCAAGTCGATACTGAAAAGGAAATCGTTGGATCACACGCCGCCGGCGGCCGAGAACGCGGACGCCGACCGCAACACGCCGTCCAACGGCAACCGGCTTCAGCCACCAGCCAAGCAGAGCGCGTTGAAATACTTCAGTCTTAAGTCATGCCGCCAGGGCATTCTGAAGAAGCATTCGGCCAGCTTCGACGACGAGTCGCTGCAGAAGCCGATACTGAAAAACCGGTGCCTGTCGTGCGACGATTCAGCGACGGCTGCGCTAGGCTGTAACGAATTGCATTCGATTTTAAAGCGAAAAACTAGTGAACAGTACAACAGCGATTCGTGGCCGTCGACGGAACCGCAGGGGATACTGAAAAAACGCGATCCTCCGTTAGCGGCGGAACACCCGGCGGACAACGATGAAGACATCCGGCCGATTTTGAAACAGAAGAAAACCGTCGATCAAGCCGATCCGGCGTCCGAAGCGCAAGAGAACGGCAACAGTGGTGGCATGCCCAGGCCGATTCTGAAAAAGAAATCGTTGGATGCGTCTCCGCCGACACCTTCGGAGGCGCCGCCCATTTTGAAAAGTTCGGCCGACGAATCTTCGGTGAAACGGCTGTCGGTAGCCGAGCGCATATCGAACCTTGAATCGATCGCGAGGGACAGGTCCACCGAGAGTGCGGCTTACAGGAAACCGACCAGAGAAAACGCGCGTTCGACCCGAGACCGTTCAAGGTTTCACACTCAACCGGTCACACCCGATGAACTGCGAGCGGTCAAAAAGTGAGTATTATTCATAATGGCGTTACTGTCGATTGAAGTTTTTCTGCGACAATAATATTTATAACCGTTTCAGAACGAACTCTGGGCGACCCGTAGATGTAAATGGTGACTACGACACCCCCGCAGCTATGGACAATAACAACGGGAGTCCGACGCAAGACGGGTCGAACGTCGGACGTCTTTGTTTGGCCGGACAAACAAAACGGGACGAAAAACTCGAATCGGCCGCGTGTTCGAATTTGAGGCGCACCAAAAGCGTTTCGGCCAAAACGCGCGAATTTCACAGTTGGTTCGATAAGAAGTCGGCGGCCAACAACAATGTGGACAACAACAACACTGTTTCATCGGCACCGCGCGCTGCTACCGCCCCTGGCCGGGTAGACACCGGCGTGAGCATTACCGCAGGTAAAACGATTTTTTATTTGTATATAAACGCGTTTAATATTCACACGTCCATGTAACTACCGTTTCGTTATCGTGTAGATAACGACGGTGATTATTTTTTTTCATTGTAATCTTTGCCGTTCGGCGTTTCGACAGACCGAAGCGCATGTGACGATTAAAAGTAATTAACACCACCGTAATAATATTATCTCGGGGCCGTTATCTGTTGAGCTATGGAATTTTCGTTCGACCAAAGACGTCTCCGCACTACTACTACTACTAGTAATAATAATACGATTATTACAATTTACCGTACCCCGTCAAGGCTTGAAAATTCTCTGAAAGCTGTACGCTTATTTTGCCTAATTATTAATAGCCGACGGTGTTCCAATCAAAACAGTATTGCGTGAACGACGACAAATTTGAGCGTATGATAATTATGGCCGGTCGTCTCATTTCTGGGTGTGCTAAAACGATTTAGTGTCGCACGCCGAATTCGGTCACTCGTTCGCCGCATACGCGTCGAAATCGTGTAACTCGGTGCATTTGTCAAACAGCTGCATCGGCGTTTTACATATTTTTCTACGGGTGTCGACTGTTGCTGTTATTCGCATAATTACTATAGCAATTTCGGATGTTTATTCTCTCGACGAGTAAAAAATATAATGAAATTAAATGCCGTATAAATAGCTCGGAGCCGACTGACGAGACTGAACTCCCATTGCCAAGAAAAGAAATCAGAAGCCAACGGCGGTGCTGTTGTCGTGAATCGGCACACTACTCATCCGGTGACCAACGACGAACTCGAAGCTGCGAAAATACTCAACTCCGCAAAAACTACAGACAATGGCCAAGACACCAACGGTATGTTTCATTCTACTCACAATCATGTAAATAACTCGTCCCGGTTGTGGTTAACAATCGCAGTACTTTCTTACCCTATTGCTTTTAGTATTGATATCTTTCCAGTAGTTACACCTGCAAAGTGCAGCAATGGCTGCTAACGTTAATATGAGTTTGCAGTGATGCTTTTTTACACGCGGTCCAACTATTTCCAATTACAAAACAGTTCACCCGATTTTTCATAATTGAGCCGAATAACTGGAATAATTTTCGCATTAATCTCTTTTTATCATACGCGCGGCGCCTATGTAATGTATAAATTTAGCGAAAATTGTCGACTTTGAAATGTTGCCAATTGTGTATGTGTTTATGCGTTTTGCACAGACATTAAGTTACATCCAAAACGGTTTTACGGAACAATAGCGTATACGGTCAATTACAATATTCGTTTCATCTATGCCGCCCAGTAAGTTATCGTTTGCGCGGTAATGTTTCTACGGAGGTTATCTCTCTGTAGTGTACACTCGACGGTTTCGTCTCGAGCACCTCCGTGTTTTGTGACCTAATAGGTTAAACTGCCGCCGCCCTATTGTTGTTCATCTCGATTGCGCAAAACCGATCGCTCTTTGTAGGTGTTGATGTTTTCCAGTTGATTAACCAGTAACATTTCGGGTCGGTGTGCTTTTTGGAGGGAACGCCCGACGAGGCTAATGCTACTCGTGGCTCATTTCCAAATGAAAATAGACCAAGTCTGTTTTTCGACCGTCAACAAAATTTAACTGGACGTGCTCACTCGAGTAAATCAAAAAGAAAGCCCATTTATTCATAGGTCAGTGACCAGTGGACGTTATGAATAGATTTTATTGTAAAAGAAAAACAAAACGTTGACAACATTTTTATCAAAAGCGAATATGTCCGAGCTGCTTCCTTTCTTTAATGCGTTTCTAACATTATTGTGTTATAATAATTATGCAGGTACAACGACCTGCATAATTACAACACTATATCATAAGATATACCGATTATTTATGGCTGTTATTGCGCAACAATGCCGTTATTATTCATAACAACAATATTATTTTGATATCGATTCGAGTATATTTTATATAATATTTCTAATTAATTAATGCGATATTGTCGTAAATGAGTGTCGTCAATGTTTTGTTTCGTATTCTTCGACCGCCGCTTAGATAAATATTGATGTACATACAGGCAAACGCGGACGTGAAAAGTAAAATAATCAAATTTGTATTGTTTAGTTAAGTATTTTTAGTATAACGTAGTTTTAATAGATTTTGAATAATTTTGCTTTTGCATGTGTTTTTTTTTTTTGATTGGTGATTGTGTTCGCTTAAAATGTAAAAGGAAGATTTCCAAAGAAGAAATTAGGAAGCTTTATAATGGAACGGCTTCGTATATTTAACGGTAACGATTAAAGATTAGTGTTTAGTTTTTCTATAACTCTATGCAAATGAAATTTCGCACGTTTTATTTTCCATCGCACAGCCGCTACACGCACGTCATTTTTCTATTTTAAACTAATTCTATTTAATGTAAAAACCTGTGTGCCAACACTCTTTAGGTAATACGTGTACGTTCGATGCCGATGTAAACGATTCCGAGGTAAGGACACGATTGATGCCGGTAAAGGCCAATAAAATGACAGAAACTTCTTCCGAACGCGAAACTAGAGCTTCCGAACGTCTCAGAAAAACTTCCAGGGATGAGCCGAAAAAGATACCGGATATCATTGTCGAAATGGCTAAACCGACAAAAGAACCCAATGTGGATTTTGAACGAAATAAAAGCCGCATATCCAGAAACGTCGCCTTAAATCGATCGTTCAACTCTAACTCTAAATTAGAATTATTAAAGTACGAGAAACATTGTTATTGTATTTTAGACTCGGTGTGTTAGTACAACTGTCTTGTGTTTTTTCTTGTAGACAGCAAAAACTTGGTGCTAAGAGTAAAGAAAACGAAGACTGTTCTAAACCAAAAAAACATTTTGAATCTTCAAACGACATCACCGACGGTACCGTGACTGCCGTCAAAGGCGGTTCGATAAAAGATAGACTTGCGGCTTTGAAAAAAAGTGGGCAAGCTGACTGGCAAAAGAGGATTTCAAAAATAAAACCCGAAAATCACGAATTATCCAATAATTCTATTAATGTAAGAATCATTCTGTTTATGTCGTATAATGTTAAATAGTATGAGATAGTTGTTATTTTCAGGCGGCACAAGATATTTTGCGTAAACAGCTTACCAAACAGGTGAAATCCACCGAAGAACCGGCTGAATGTATTGACAATGTACTGGTCGATCGACTTAACCAATTAGAAACCGCGTCCAAAGATTGGAAGAAACGAGTTGAGCAAAAAGATACCGCCAACTTCACGGTGGCTGGAAAAATGCAACAAAAAGTTTTGCCAGCTCTTGCCCCAGCTCTGGTAGCACTCAACCGACGGCCCTCAGACAGATTATCACCCAGTAAGATACTTTGTTCTGTAATTATTTTTGCATTTTTCTTGACAAAATATATGTTTTCAAGGTCTAGCTAAAAAAAAGCTCGGAGAAGATTCAATCAACGTAACTAATGTCCGGCGAAGTGTTTCTATGTCGGATAATAAAAGTAAATCATATCTAAACAACAAATCTGAAAAAGTGCCGTTGTTGAATGGGGCTTCTGATGATACGCATAAAGATAAAACTGTCATAGTGCCAGTTATGATCGATAGTGAATTCGATAAATTCTTTGGCAGCCCAACACCCAGTCAAACAGATGCTCAAATGGGTGATGTTGATTTCGATCAGATAAAATCATTTAGAACCACCATGTAATGATTTAATTATATATAGCCATATGTTTGAGAAAAACTCTTATTAAAATTTTTTTACAGGCTTGTTCACCATAAAAAAGTAAAAGTTCCTCAAAGAAAGTACGAAGGATCGAAAAATCCAATAAAAGCATTAGCCTCAAATCAAGACTTGACACAGCAACAGTATACCGAAAATAAGTCAAATATTGTATTGCAACAGCACTTGGAAAATTGTAATTTTACTTAATTTTAAATTTCTCTTTTTGTGTAAAAATAACATTGTTTTTTTTAATTTAGCAACTATTAAAGCTCCATTGGCTCGTGAAGCTTTAGCAGCTTTGGCTAGTAAAGAAGATTTTGCTTCTGTAAATTTACGTAAATCTGCAGAATCATCACCTTCATTGCTCCCTCCCTACAAAGATTTGATGTTATTACACATTAAAGGACGCAGACGAGTTCAGACTAGACTTGTACCACCTATTGTTGATTCTGTTAATCAAGGAGATTCCTATGTTCTGGTCACAGCGTCTCAAGTATAGATAAATAAAATAAAATATAACAAGTTATTTGTAATAAATTAACTTTTTAGATTTTTGTATGGATTGGAGAATTATCAAATGTGATTGAACGGTCTCATGCTGCTAAAATTGCTCAAAGTATTTTTGATAAAAAAGATTTAGGTTGTAAAGGAGCTACTCAAATTATTACAGTTAATAGTGATTCATCATTACCTAACACACAACAAGAAAAAAAATTTTGGACTTTTTTGGGTGTGAACTCTAATGAAACATCATATATCAAAGGTTTAATGACTTTGAAATTCTTTGTTAATATAATATATTAATACATATAGAGTGGAACAGATCTAACAGACAACTCTTATAATTTTTTATGCAATAAACATTTTGCTGTATTTTTTTTTCAAGAACTTTTGCGTTGTTAAACTACTTTTAACCATATATTTTATTGTTTATTCTTAAAAACTAGCACTACACACTCACTTTACGCATTAAAATGGTTGTAACTCAATAAGTATTTTTTCTAAAATTATAACCCATTAATGATATTGGTAAGAAAAATATTAGACTCTATTTTTGAAATTAAAAAAATATATAAATTTTATTATTATTATTATTATTAAAAAAGATGATTTTACAGTAATCTAAGAATGTATGTTGCTAAAAATAAAAATTACGTCAAAATATTAATTGTATCAAAATTTAAAGAGTTGTCAGTTATATGTGTTCCTCCCTGTATATATAATGTATTAATTATATATTATAAAATAGGACTAGGTGCAGGACACCCAGATGAAGATGAGTTATATGAAGCGGCCATAGTTTCAACAAATGTTATATATGAAGTTGTTGGTGAGGAACTTGTTTTGTTACCTGAATTATCAGAAACCATGCCCAAAATAGAAATTTTGGATCCGTCAAAAGTACTTTTATTACTATATATAAATTTTTATTCAATTTATATATAAAAATAATATATTTTTCAGACTTTAGTCTTTGATTTTGGTAGCGAATTATATATTTGGTATGGCAAAAACGTGAATATCACCAAACGCAGACCAGCCATCCGTTTGGCACGTCAGTTGTTTGATGATAGTTACGATTATTCACAATATGACATTAGCCCAATTGATGTAGCCCCTTGTTTAGGCGATAGAAGTAATACACTTAACAAATAAATAATATTGAGTTTTAAAGTACTAAATTTTGCAAAATGTATAGATAAAGATACCGTGTATCTGAAAGCTGGTAAAAAACGACCTGATTGGACATTATTTGCTAAGATAACTCAACATATGGAAACAATATTATTCCGTGAAAAATTTGCTGATTGGCCAGACTATAGTCGTGTCATTAAATTATCAAAAAAAAATAATGATGAAAAGAACTCAAAGACAGAAGATAAAAGTGTATGATATTTCAAAATATTTAGATTTACTTATACATCTAACAATATTTTTTTTTATTTAACAGATTGACTGGTCCACAGAAATAAAAGCTTTTAAAGCAGTAGAAATGTTAGAAATGTCAAATCAAGAACCAGATCTAGTGTTAAGTGGTAGTCATTTGGGCAGAGGATCTTCTTATTATGACAAAGAAGTGCGTATTAGTATTATACATAGGAATTATGATTTTAATTTTTTATAATTTAATCATTTTTTAGACACTAAGAAATTTTGTTGTAAATACAATCAGTGTTACTGTATGGCACGTCCAAGAATTTGACAGTAGTGAAATGGATTCAAAATCAATTGGCCAGTTTCATAGTGGAGATTCTTATATTATACGATGGATTTATAATGTTTGCATTCAAGGTATTTATTTTTAGTAATATAATTTTAAATCACAACAAACTTCTATTCTTTCTTACTATATTTTTCTTTGTAATATAATTTAAAATTTTTATTCATTCAATAGGGAGGGAACTGAATGGATTGCCATCACGTCGTATGATTTCATCTGGTAGAAATCGTTGTGCTTATTGGTACTGGCATGGTCGAAATGCTACTCAAAATGATCAAGGTGCAGCAGCTTTATTGACTGTTCAATTAGACACTGAACAAGGACCTCAAATAAGAATAGATCAAGGACATGAACCACCAGCTTTTTGGAACTTATTTAGAGGATTGGCAATTGTATATAGAGGAAAAAGAAATCAGAGATCAAGTAATTAATCTAATAAATCATATTGATATGTGTGAATAATAATTTTTAAATATTTATAGATATTTGGCGATTGTTTATGGTACAAGGTGCCAATGATAATGAAGTACATTTAACTGAAGTGGTGTGTTCCACAACGCAGTTGCGTACTCATACATCATTCATTTTACTTAATTCTAAAAATGGACTTGTTTACATTTGGCATGGAAAAGAGTGTTCAGATAACCTAAAACAAGTAATTATACTTAATATCTGTAGTGAAGAATTATTAATATTATAAATATTAAAGAAACTTATAGAAAAAATTACTTATATTATAGCTCTCTATTAAAATTTCTAAACGTTTGCCGGAAATTGATTGTAAAGAATTAGGATTAGAAGACAATATTAGTATACAAGATGCTAAAATATTTTATGAATCAAAAGAGCCTACAGAATTTTATCAAGGTATTATGAATAATTTGTTTTCTTGTTAATTCAATATAAAAGCCTAATAATAAAATTCTAATTGAAGGATACAAAAAAAAACCGCAAAAGTATCAAGTAATAAAATTCATTTGATGAAAAATATTTTCATTTTTCTAATATTTAAACACTTAAATATTAGAAAAGTTTAAATATTTAAAAAAAAATACTCATTTTTTTTTTATCATTAAAAAAAAGAAACTTTTTTTTTTAGTCTGGAGAAAAGTGTACAAAAATATATAATTATCATTTTTCCCCTTTATCCTTCAATTTACAAGATAAATTTTAATGTGTATAATGATATTCTTTTAAATTGTAGCCCTTGGCTGTAAAAATGCTCGTCTTTATAAACCTCCATCAACCAAATTAGGAGATATGAAATTGTTTCATTTTTCATCTGTTGTGGGCCAGTTTAAAGCAACATTGGTTAATAGTGCTTATATCCCATCTCCCTACCCATATTTACAAGATCATCTTTATAATTCTAATCAGCCAGGTGAGAAATTTTTATTTTATTTTTGTTAAGATTTATTTTAATTTTGTCAAATTATTAATTAATTTATAGCACTCTTTATGTTGGATACTGGAGAAGAATTGTGGATTTGGCAAGGGTGGTGGCCAGAGACTGCCGAAGAAGATTTTGTTGATGTAGAAATTAATAATCATCGTGGATCACAATTCACACGTCTTCAAGCAGAAAGAAGGGCTGCTATGCAAACAGCTCTTGATTACTGGGACCAAAAATATAATAATGATGATAAACCAAAAGTTTATTTAGTATGGGCTGGTCTTGAACCTCTTCAGTTTACTGATTGTTTTCCAGAATGGGAGATAAGAGATGATATTGCTGAAATTAATATGAAGGTATTGTTCAAAATTTTTTTTATTATAATGAAATTGATTAAATAAAAAATAATATATTTATTATATTAGGATCATAAACCTGGGGAAATTGTGACCGTTGAAGAAGAATTAGCACGTCTTACTCAAGAAACATATCCAGCAGCCCAATTACTACAAAGACCTTTACCAGATGGAGTTGACCCTACTAGATTAGAATTGTATTTATCACCAGCTTCATTCAAAGTATGTTTTTTTTTTTTAATGATTACATTATTTCAATTGTTATTTTTTATTAGAGTCTTCTGGATATGAACAAAAGTGAATTTCTTCAACTTCCCAAATGGAAACGTACCAAAATTAAACAATCGGTTGGTCTATTCTAATTAAAAAATATCCGAATTCATACAAACATCCACATTTCAATTATTATTTAAATAATATTACTAATTTTTGTAAATTATTAAGAAAATTAAAAAAAATGTATTGTGTGTGCAATCTTGTATTTTTCTACTGTGAATTTTTTATTTATACCTTTATAGATACAATATATTTTTTATACTCCACGAGATGTAACAAGTTACTAAAACAAATGATCATAATCTATATTTATATATATATACTTTTTTCTAGTGTTTGGTTTGTTGACATATTTTAATAACTTGTAACACTTTTTGTAAAACATGTTTTTGTAACACGAATTTTGTGTTTTTTACTACTGTGTCCTATGTTTCAATTTATTTATTAATTTTATTTTGTTTTTAGGCTGTGATTCTTTGTAATAATATTCATACTTTTGCGAGTAAACATTAATGTTTTTCCATCATTTGCTTTTTTTATTTTTTTTACCTATGGTTCCTTTAAAATAAAATTGTGTTCTGTATAATGTTCAATATTTTTCAAAATTACTTTAAATTAATGTTTGCCGAGTTAATTGTCAATTTGATCCTGATCTACACCATTTTAATATAAATATTTTTTATGAATGATGCACTAATAATTCTTATACTCTTAACATTAATAAATGCCAAGTGATGTTTTTCTCCAGAGGTAAAATATTTCACAAATATAACTGTTATATTAATACATAAATGCTACAGAGGATGATAATGGTGCTTATTAAGGACATTGGTATTTTTTTTTATCACAAATTAAATTTGGGACTAGAAAATCATTAAAATATATTTTTTTGAATCTAGATAGTAAAAAATATATTATTTTAATTTTAAAGTACCTTAATAATATTTTTTAAATTTCTTAAGGGTCAGGATTCTCTAATAACTTCTAATACATTATTCATATTTAATCTTCTTTTATCATTTATCGTAAGTTTTGAATAAAAACTTGTAACATATTAATAACATTGAGCATATATTTTAAGTATACCTTTTCAAAAAACTTTTAATTATTAGTAAAGGACTAGGTATTTCTACAACTATAATATACAAATTTGCATTTATTGTTTAAAACGCATACAACCATTTTCTCATAAATAAATAATTCAAACATATAAAATACATTAATTATCTCAAGGAACTTATCTTTCTTAAAACAATTTGTATAAAATCAGTGAATATTCATTTGGTAATATTTTGTATGTTTAAACAATGATAAGAAACAACTTAATAAATAATTAATATAAAAATAATTACACAAAAAATAACTGTTAAAGCCACAGAAAATTAAATTTACTTATTATATTAATCTGTTAATAACCAAAATGAGGAGGATCGACTAGAATATTGAAAACAAATTTCAACCTCCAAAAATAGCTTCTTTAATCGAGTCAATGTATTGAGCTGGCACCCAGTACACCCAGTAGCGAGATGCCTCAGTCGTACCTAATTGAAAACCCTGTAACATAATTAGATAGTTCATTAAGTGAAATAACACTTCAATTTTTTGGCTTCGATACGAAGCTGAGTCGGTATTAATTTTACTATAATGTTTTCTACTATAATGTGTTTTTTTTATATCTATCACCACTTTTTCTAAGCTCTCACTGATTTCTTTCAACCATATGTCAAAAAATCACGAATCATCTAAATGAAGACATTACTTTTAAAAATTGAAAAAATTTCCCTTATTCCTTGTGAAATGGGAGAACTCTCCACAAAAATACAATTATTAAAATAGGTAAATTTTGACATTTTATTCATTTTTTACTTTTTTTTAAAAATATCTTTTTAAAAATAATCAACTAGTCAAAATAATTTTTTTTTAAATTAAAACCTTACATATTTTCCTTTTAATTGATATAATTTTTTTGAAAATTTGACTATTAACCTGACCAATTATCTTTTAAAAATGTTCCAGAAATACTGAGTCCTTTAACCATATGTTAAATTAAAATTTATGTTACGTACTATTAATTAAAAAAGAAAATTTGCTATGATGACTTATCTTTTATTTACAAACGGTTGCCATAGTTAAAAACATGCTATTTTTGTGTTAAAATTTTTGATTTTATGTTTTTAACTATAAATAGCTATACATTTTTGAAAAATGTACGGATCAACGCAAACTTTTGTTTTTAAATACTTTACCCCTTTCATCCGATGTACTTTTTTTTTTAATCGGATAGTTTTCCTGAATATAAGATAGTTGTTCAAAACATAAAACATATGTATAAAAAGTGAAACTTTTTTAACTTAACTTTTGAAAATGTCCAGGAAATACAGAGTCTTTTAAATGTTAAACTAAAGCCTATGTTAGGTACTATATAGTACTATAGATAAAAAAAAAATTAGTCCCGAAGACCAATCTTCTATGTGTAAATGGCAGTCGCAGTTGAACAAAATTAGTTATTAGTTATTATTGAGGTGGACATAATGCCCATGCACTCAGACCTGTTGGTCCATTGTGCGCAGTTGAACAAAATTAATAAATATATTAAATATTTATTTATATATTACATTTATATATCATAAAAATTGTAATCGTGATATAAGTAAGGAAATAGGAGTTCATTTTGATTTTGGTACGATCTAAATATTTCGTAAAATTATTGCATCAAAGCCTTTCATATGATAGTGATATTAATCACTGTCAGGTATCATCCATACTTGTCCCAACCACGTCCACACTGTGCTACCGTTTGTTTTTATATTAATGATATATTTAATGTAATTCTCTTAATTAAACTAATTTATAATTAAAATTTAAATGTATATTAAATATTTATAACCTATTTTGTACTCGGTATAAGATTGTAAAAAAAATTATTAAGCATTTAGGATTTATTTTTATGAAACTTTCACTTATTAAAAAATAAATTACAGATAAATTATGAGACACAATATCTTTAATAATATAAAAAAATATTATTTTTTCTTTTCTGAAGTTAATAGTGTCCCTCTATAATTTTCAAAAAATATTTTTTCCTTTTTCCCTTAACATTTAATTAACTTTAGTTAAAAAAAAACAAAAGATTTATGTTATCCAACTTACAAACTAGATAATGGCTGGTTAATAAAACTTTTAACCAGTATTTTAGAATTTATTAAATATTTTTTACAAAAATGGAGGTGGAGTATTGGTCTGTTTAATTTTATCGTTGTACAATAATGACCACACTTCTCCTTTTACCTTGTAATATATATTTTACTTTGTTATATATTTTAATATTTTAGTCTAAAAGTTGTTATTTTCCAGTCATTTTCTAGTAAGGTAGTTAAATTTTTATGATTCCATTTAAAAAACTTAAGTTGATAAAATTTTAAGGTGAAATAGAAGCAATTTCTTTTTTAAAATTTATAGAACTTAAGATAATATTAATTCCTGAAAAGAAAAATTATATTATGTTATATATTTTTTAAAATATTCCATGAGTCAACAAACACTCTATACAGTGTTCATAGTGGCTGTTTAAAAGCTAATTGCTAATTGCTTTAAACTAAAACAAGATTTAAATGGCTATTATAAATGATTAAGGATAATGAATTAAAAAGAAATACTATAAAAATCCTATCATTCAAACAAAATACTAGCTGTATTTTAGCTATTAACTTTGAATCTTAAATATAAAAGTAGCAGATAAAATATGGTATTTTAGTATTCTGTTTTAATCAACCTATCTTTCAAGTTCCAAAATACTAATGTGTGCTAAACCATGGAGAAATTTATATTTCATTAAGAGAATCTGTTTTGACATGCACCCCTCATGTATAAAAACACTACTGTTCATTATTTTACTCAGTATTAGAATTTGGCTCTTAGTTATTGTTTTCTATTGGAATATGGGCTCTTCTGATAAATATCAAACATAAAAAATTATTGTAAGTTACTAACAGATGGCAAAATTTTGTTCATTTTAGCCTCATAAATAGAATTTTCAATTTTAGTAATAATAATGATTTCTGATTTTGCTGATTTTGACTTCTTTAAAAATTTGTATGATGAATTAAAATATATTCATTTATCAATGAGTTTAGTTGTTGGTATTAATATTTCTTTTATTATTATTATTTTTTCAAAAATAACAACTTCAGCAGCGCTATAGTTATTATTTTTAATATCTATGATATCCTGGAAATAGTTAATGTTACATATTTGGTCGTTTGTATAGAAATAAATAAATATTCACTAATTGAAGTAAGTAATATTTCAAACAAACATTTTCGATAAATTAATAAATAATATTAAATTGTTATATGAAATGTGATTCCAATAAAAACAATAATTTATCAAAATATGATACTTCATTTATAATTCTTAAAAATATTAATTATTAGTTAGAATTTCACTGTAATAATCAAATTATTTACTCAATTTTTCAATTAAATTTCTAAAATTATGATACTATAAAAACAAAAAATAATAAAATTAAGCATAATCTTCTTTAGATTAAATCTATCTCCTACGAAAAAGAAAGTTTAAAATTATATTATGACTTACTAAAACTATATTTATTTAATGTAACTAAATAACTGTTATACATTTTTTTATTTCTTAAACTGATTCCTGCATGTAGAAGTTAACTATCACAAATCAGATTTTTTTTAAAAATTGCTTATTTCTTCAGTGGTTTGATATGCAATAGTTTACCTTACAGATTACATATAGAGAACTATTTACCACTATATGATACTCTTCATGTCCATCAATTGGCTCATTCACCACATGTTTAATAGTATTCATCGCTATTTTTTGAGTTCTTTCTTTGGTACCAATCCATAGTTGATCTAATTCCAATTTAAATGTCAGTCTTACTTTTCCTCCATGCTTATTAAGCATACCACTTAAAGGATGTGGAGGTAATGGATCCTAAATTAATATTAAATTTCAATTAAAATGTTTTTTTCATAAAGTATACAAATATGAAGAAATAAAATTTTTTTTTTATTACTAACCTTTACATTTAAAATTCCAACCATGACATCTTCTGGAATACCTCTTTCTAGTATTTTATAATGTAACTTTTTCTTACATAAAGGTTCTTTGGTAGAGGTACTAGCACTATCTGAACTAGATTCCTAGAGAAATGGGACAATTATGAAAATTAAAAATATTCACTAATGTTATATCAAATTAACAAACTTCAGGAGACACTACAGAAACAGCAACTATATCCTGAAGCTTAGCACCAACAACCATGATTTTGGTAGCTGTATTGACATTTAAAGATTCTAAAGTTTGATCATCTTTAGCCAACCCCTTAATCATGATTTTTTGCATTTTACTTGGTACACCAATTATATCAACTAGCTTGTTTTTAAGTTGACCTATAGTTGCTGAAAATGGCATAGTTACTAAATATTTATCTTTATTGTGTATTATTGTCAACTCTACTGTTGCAGCTGTTTCATCACAAATATCTAAATTAGCATCCTTTTTTATCTCACAATCATCAACCAAAATTGGCTTTTCACTAGTTACTTCGTGAATATTTTCTTTTTCTAAAATTATTAAAATTTAAATGTATTTTTAAAAACGGAAAATGATTTATGATTCATGTTTACCAGGCGATTCCATTTTTAATCAAAATATCAACTATAATAAATTCGATAATTAATTAGAAAAGTAAAACATCCAGCTTACTGAACTGATTTATTTTTGTGATATTAAATTCATTTGCTCAAGTTAAAAAATAGGACTCGAAAATACGATACGATAATCCTATTTTATTGAACAAAAACACACAAGTAAAAATATACATTTACTATTCTTACTGTATCACTAGAAAAATGTTGTCTGTTATCATCATCATCATCTGTACTTATCATAAAATATGATTTCCATGTGCAGTGTAGTAATTTTGAAAGAGTTATTATTTTTATTATATTTTAATTCAATGAAAGCATGCATCTATTTTAACTTTTAACAAGATAACTAGATTTAAATTTTTAGGCTAACTGAAAGTTTTGTTATTTTAGTGAAACAAAAGAGCTTTCATCTTGTCGTTCTTGCTAGTCCGATCACTAGGGAGATCTAAAACAGATAAAACATTTTTTTTTTTAAACATTGGTTTTAAAATAAAATTTTAAATATATATATTTAAGTCATTCCAAACCGATTAAAATTAAAAACTTAAAAAAAGAAAATAATATATTAATTTTTAAATATATAATTCAGTCAACTTGATAATTAACATTTTTTAAACAAATGTTTATGTAGTTAAATAAATGTAATTATTAGATCATAAAGTATAAAAATAATAAATGTAATATTTAAATAATTATTTTTCGATGTAATAGGAATTGTAGTTGATCTTCGCAATGAGTTATTCTGTTATTTAGTTTTTAAATCGCCGTACAATTTATTTTAACGACATCATGTGTAACACTAAAATCTCTAATATATTCTTGGCTTTTAAACAATGTTTATTATAATATTTTTACTCACTAACATCAGATTTACAAAATTATTTTACACGACAAATGTTTTAAATGTTAATTTTGATTGTAAAATCATGAAGTTGCAAATTTTTTACATAATTTTAATTTATTTTTGGTATTACTATACTAGTTTTAGGAGTAGGTTTTTTTATCATAACACTCACAATTTTACATTTTATTTCCTGGGAAAAAATGTTTGTCAAATAAATGAAATAACATGATTATTTAATTAAAGGAAGTCGGCCCCAACGAAATTTTTCTTGTATGATTCTCATTGGTGGTGTCTCTTCTTTGACTCTCTAACATGTGATTAAGGGCCCTACCGCCCTCATGTTAAGTTCAGCAAATAGATGGAAGTACAATTGATCATTTGTTCACTCACTGACAATATTTCGAATATTACGAAAAAAATATTTTATCATTATTGTGTATACACATATATATTTAAATAAATTATCTACAAAAAATCGAAGATAGTCTTTTCCTAAATAAGTTGTAATGAAGTTCTTTTTATCATTCAAAGAATTAAATTGAAAGTATTTGACTATGCACATTATATTACTAATAAACGTGTATTTATAAATACTGAGTTTTTTCAATACTAGCTCACCTAATCTTGTAAAAATACACGATAACAGCTAAATAAAGTTCAAATGATTTTAATTATTTATTTTTAAAACTACAAAATTTAACGGCATTTCAGTGGCGTGGCGACGACATTAAAAAATGTTAAAAATTATATATTTTTTAAATTTCATTAGAATACCAATTACATATTTCATAAATCAAATTTCATTGTTTTAATAATTATAACATTAGAAAATTTGTAATACACGTTATAAATATTAATTATGTTTAATTAAAATAGGTTTATACAAGATGTTTCAATTATCATAAACCAGTAAATAAATAAAAAATAAAAATATCATTGTGAACTTTTTATCATTATTTTAGCTTCGATGCGAAGCTGAGAAGGTATTGGTTTTACTATGATGTGTTTTGTTTTTGTGTGTTTGTTACCACTTTTTCTTAGCTCTCACCGAACTTTCAATGATACGTCAAAAGAACACAAATTGTAACTAGTCGAAGACATTACCCTCAAAAATTGAAAAAATGTCCCTCGTTCCCTCTAAATGGGGGAAACCTCCAAAAAAATTACAACTTTAAAAGTCGCTAATTTTCGAAATTTTTTCAATTTTTTTTTCTTAAAACTGTCAGAACTTTTTCAATTTAATTTTTTTAAATGTTTCGAAAATACCGACACTTTTATATATATATATCTTAAATTAAAGCTAATGTAAAGTAATTTATTATGAAAAAAAAATTTCAGACTTCATTTTTTTTTCATGGTGAAAACGAAGATCAAAGTTAATAAAAAAAAATACGATGTGTAAAAAATTACAATATTTAATTATTAAATACAAATTTCATACAATATTTAATTAATATTTATTCATATATTAGACTTATAAATCATAAAACTTTTAATCAGGATATAAATAAGAAAATAGGAGATCATGTAGCTTTTGGAATAATCCACCAATTTTTTAAATTTAAACATTATCTACAGATTTGCATCGAAGCATTTTTTATGATAGTGATTTTAATCACTGTCCAATTAAATCTATACTGGAACCAACTAAGCTACGTCCCCACTGTGCTGTTTTTTTTTTAATATTTATGTTAACTATTTTTTTGTCTCGTGTACATTTAATATCACTGTATTGAATGATACAATTATATTTCCCTGTAGCAAATCATAATGATATTAATGTTTTTTGGATTTTGCTATATTTATACTTTATTTATAGTAAGTATTTTTGCTTGCCTTTATTTTTAGATTTATTATGCTACTAATGAAAGATTATCAGGACAAACCAATAACTTATTTAAGTTATTTGAAATTTTTGATTATTCTAGTCCAAATTTTTTTAATCCTAAGAGTCTTTATTTAAAAAAAATTATAAATCATTATAGTTATTTTAAATTTAATGAAATTCAAATTGCTTCTGAGTTTCCATCAGCAAAAGCACTATTTCGTGACTAGCTTGAAGTCAATATAGATACTATAGCAATATGCCTGAAAGATTTTCCTATTTCTTTTGCTGAAATATAAAAAATTATTGCATTGGTCAAAACTTTACCAATTACAAAAGCATCAAATGAAAGGTTATTACATAGCTCAAACATTTTAAGTCATATTTACGCACTAACATGGGCGATGAAATATTAAATGATACTTAATGTTAAAAAAAAAGAAGTTAACAATATAAATTTAGAAAAAGCTGTGGATGTATTTACTATATTAAAAAATCGCCGGTATCCGCTTATGTAATATATAATAAACTTTTTTTATTCAGAAATCTGCTTGTACAAAAGTTATAAATTAAGTATAAATGTAAATTTTATGTAATTTTTTCTTTTTTCTTGTATTTGTCATCTTTTAACTTTTTATGCATTATTTAATGGATTTCAATCACTGGTAAATAATCAATTATTTATTCTATTTAGCTTTTAAATTGCTTTTTTACTACTTATGTTGATTGCGATTCATAATCTCAGGAAAAATTAAAAGAAGAATAATTTATTAAAGTAGATATATCTATTTTTATATCGCCTGATGAAATTTCAAAATGGCCTACTTGAAATCTTGCACACCCAAAAAAACCTGAAATGACGCTCCTGGCTAAAAATATAATAATTATTATTTTTAGTTATATTTTGCAATGAATTATTTATATTTGTAGTATTACAAGGTTAGATACACATTGTATAAATAAATAATTTAAAATTTTTTAAAAAAATACAATAATTTTTATGTACACTAAGTACATAAAATTTCAACGGGCATAAATTTCAATTTTAATTAATTAATAAGTCTGCAGTTATCTCTATATTTAATATTTTTATGGAATGGTTAATTATAAAAAACATTTTCTTTAATATTTAGTGGTAGCTTATTTTAGTTATGACCCTAGAAATGAATAATGTAATTTTTCCTATTCTTGTAATACTAAAAACATCGAATTTATTTTTTATTTTTTAAAACCATTGAAAAACAAAAAATATTCCTCTGAATAATAATATAAGCTTTGCGTTTAATGGATGCAATATCATATTTGGACCTTGCAATTGGGTTGCAATTGAATTCTGGTTCAATAATATATTTGCTACACATTAGCACTATATTCCAGCAAAGTTTATAAAATTCTTCCTTGAAGGTAGATACTGATTATATATATGTAGCCATAAAATTTAATTAAATGATTTTCTGGCAATTTGTATACATAAGAAGATCTATCTCGTGATATATAATTTATTTAAAACAAGTTGTAAAAAAATAGAGAAATTTAAAGAGTTTCAAGTATTTTACGATGTTGAACCACATCGTATTTTAAGTCCAACCCAAACACAATGATTGTCGATCTAAATAATTAGTGTGCAGTCTGCTACTTTTGAGCTAGACCGTGCTGACGGGTTTAAACTCTACCCTTTTAGTAGTTCACTTTTTGATTGGGATTGGGGCTGACCAGTGTATCTAACGGGAGGACTCGAGAAGAGCTAAAAACGACGAACTCGTTGTCAAAAAACATTAGTTAATTTGTGTACTACTTTGTGTCTACTTAGGGGTACTACCGATGTACAACACTAAATAGCAGAAGTACTCTAATCAAGTTGAGCTTGTGATGTAATAAGGCAGCTGTTGAAAGAGACGAAGTGATCGTCTATTAAACGTATCCCAAAATATAGGGTATCGTGTTAACCTGCCTGTAGGAGGGGAATTAAAATACTTTGTATAGCTAAATTTTTTATTATTCAATCACTGATTAATATTTTAAAATATTACCATATGATATATTTCTATAGAAATATAGAAACACTAAAACAAATAACGTCATAAAATGATACTATTTATATGATAAGTAATTGAATATAAAAAAAGAAT